TGCCGATGTTTTGCCAGACGGCACCGGCGAGGCTCAGGCAATGACAGCAATGACTCAACTTGAGTGCTGGAAATGTGGCGAAAAGGTGACTGTTGCCTGCGCCGTTACAACGTCGTCAATAACTGGTCCTCACAATGGTGCCATAGTTATCCTCAAGGAGAAACTAGGGAAGATTCTAATTTAAACTGCGTATCGTCACCATCTTTTGGAGACGATTCCAAAGCATGTGTTTCACAAAACAGTGGATAGCCCTCCACTTCTCCTGATTTGGGACCTCTTTGTACCAGCTTTATGAACAAGTGGAATTCTATGGACCACACGAACTACCTGCCTGCTTCTCAGGACTCAGAGTGCAAAGAAATTTTACCAAATGTCAAGATATTAGAAATTCTAAATTTTGCAAAAGATACACTGAAGGCACATTATTTCGCTTTTTTGGGACTACTGGTCTGGTAACAGTAAATTCTATACTGTCATTCCCTTCTTTCAGCGTCTATTGATTCGCTGTGACTATAAATACTTCCTTGAGTTGGTCATCATTTTCCTGGGAGAGGTCCCTCCTACGCAGCCAAACGGTGTGCACTTCCGATCACCTACGGCTCTGTCGTCCGCTAGATTCATGGGAAGGATAATTTACTGTCCTGACTGGATGCTCTGAGTCCTGCAATGCCGTGAAATCTCTTTTCAGTCTTGTCCAAAACGGCACCGTGTTCTGTCAAAAACGGCACCCACCGTGTTCATATCAGCCTTAAACTAGACAGATGCAGGGCTCGTGACAGATCTTTCTCTACTCGCGACAGATCTTACCTTTCTTTCGACAGATTTTATTATTGGACTAAATTGTTCAACCAATCCTTACCAAACCTAACGGGGCCGTGAGAGATCTTACTCTACTTGCAACAGATCTTACCTTACTCTCGAAAGATCTTATTCTCAAACTTGTTGGTCTAACCAATCCTAACGAGGCCGTGAGAGATTTTACCTCACTCGCGACAGATCTTACCCTTTTTTCAACAGATGTTATTCTGATCAATGAATATTGAGTTCAGGTATGTGAAAAGTTCCTTTGCAACCTGTGTTATGTAACTTAACTTTTCCTAAGGACAATTAAGAAAACTTCATTTGCAAAACCCAACCAAACCAATCGTTTGGAACGGGAACAGTCAAACACTACAAACCTAACTGTCTACAAAGTACATGGAGTTACACGGCGTCAAGCATGCGTTTGTAAGTGTGTAATGGAAATTCCTCAGACTCCCAGTTCTCAACCAAACACCACAATCAGCATGTCGCCATCTGTCACTTATTTTTAACATCAGTTGTTTTGTTTTCTTAAAAAAAGAAAAAACAATGCTGGCAATTTAATGGCACATATGAAGAGCCACTATAAGAAACTCCACAAGAACATCGGAGAGACTTAAGCCTGCAACGTCAACAGGAAGAAGCCCAAACTTTCCGGTAACAACCTGAACGGAGTAAAGATGTCAGCTAAAGCCCTGCAGCTGCACTGTCTGCGACTTGTGACCGAGAATGGGACTTGCCTTCAAAGTACTGGACTACCCAGCCGTGCAGGACATCGTGAAACCGATGATAGATGCCGTGCCTATATCAGAGAGGTAAGAGCAACTAGCAACCAGCATGTTATAACTCCAGTCAAAGATGCGAGTGAGACGGAGTGACGAGTGGTCGAAGGCCACGCCGGATTGACCCCAGAACCAACGGTTGAAGTGGCGTGTGTCTGTTTAGAAAGTATTTTTATCAAAGTGTGCTTCTTACATTGTCATTATTTACAATGAGTGGAATAGATTTCCGAGCCGTTTGATAGCATCTTGCCACCAACAAAGCTGTAAGCATGTCGACGAATGACTTGTATGAGATTAAGAGTAAGTTGAAGACTAACAAGGTGAGAAGGCTCGAACCGTATAGGCCGGAGGATACCAAATTCTTCAAAAAGGAGGTCGCCTATGGAAGAATTTGCGGCACTCAAGTCCACAAACATTACATTTTGGCGATGCAAGGTACGTTTGAGGGTCCTTAGCAAAACAAACATAAAAGAGCATTTGGCAGCTCCATCGCTTCTCTCCCTTTCTCGTTGCCCTTGCTTCCATTTGTTTCCTGATCCTGAAGCGCACTCCTTTTCATTTTCTTCTTACAGAAGAATTGTTTGACAAGATTGATCAAGTTTAATTGGTGCCGAGAACCAAGCAATCGGGCGATGTGGAAAATTTGTCTGTTCATCAGCTCGAATCGAATGCGAATACTGAACCCAATATTATAATAAACAAGTGTCAGTGATTGGGGAAAGCCCAGAGCTGGTACCGTAAGTCTTTTACAGCCTCGACTCGGTTAATGCATTTCACAAAAATGCAAAAACTCACGCCCCAATTGGGCTAACAGGACATGAGCCCCGTCCCGTTTGAGCCCTGATGGTCTGAGCCCCAACCTGAGCCCAGGTTGAGCCTCAAACGGGGCTCGAACGGGGCTTAGGTCGGGGCTCAATCCGGGCTCTGAATATTGGGGCTTCGGTTGGGGCTCAAGTCGGGGCTCAACCCGGGCTCAGAGCATCGGGGCTCAAACGTGACGGGGCTCATGTCGAGGGGGAAACCACATTGGATGAATGGGGACACAAGACTTCTTAAGGCTAAAGAATTCGTTGGATTTCGCAAGATTTTTACTGTTATTCCGCTCAAAATAAACTTGTTTTAGGCCTTTTGGGGGGCAAGATGTCAGATATCCCAGAGATTTCTAGCGCTAAGGGGACACAATATTTCTAGAATGGTTGTCCCCTCGGCTCATGTCCTGTATGCCGCAAATTGGTCCCCCAAAATTATTTTTCATGGGGATGAAGTGCATGCATAAATAAATCAAATCATGCCCAGGAGAAAACATTTGAAGGATACGTAATTTTTTAGTTAAAGTTTCAGAAACTCAAAAATATTTTATTTTGTTTTTTGTCTTTAAAAATCGGGCGTGTGGTGCAATTTGAGCTCCAAAACGCCCTCTTTCCATTGAGCCAACCCCCAGCACTGTAGCTCAAATCGTTCGAAAGATATTAGCATAAATGTTAGACCATTACACGACTTCTGTGAAAAAGTGTGAAAATGGACCCCCTACCAAACGCGAACGGGTTGGGTTAACTCAACCAAAATTTATTTGCATCATCTGTACCCTAATGTGATCCAATTCACTAAATTTAGTAGTAAAGATCGGAGCTCATGAAAAAAAATTGGGACGCGTTTACTTAATTTGACCCAGGCAAAATTCACCACTCACAAACCAAAGAAGGTGCATTGTTCCATAGCCGTGACCACTAGCCTGTTCTGATGCCATGTTTTCATTTGCAGATTCTTCAACCCAATAACAAAGCTATCGAAGCCTTGCGGCACAAGTGCCAAGTGCCTTCGGCACTGTTATGTTACTTTATGTTGAAGATACTCCTGCGAATGCTGATGATAATGCTATGGTTGTCATGGATAACACACATCGAGGGGTCCTATTCAAAAGATCTTATCTGGGCGTTCCCCCCAAGACAATCTTATCTTAAACGCAGGCAAATTTTACTCACTTTGACCCTATGGGGCGGGTACGAGAGTAAGCGGAATATATTTCTGCATGCACCATTGGTTTCTTTGATCTTTCATCTTCACATTTCAGTGAATTTAATCACAAATTATATTTATTTATAGCTGTATCAAATGATCAAACTGAGTGCAATTCGCCTGCGTTTCAGATAAGATTGTCTTGGGGGGAACGCCCAGATAAGATCTTTTGAATAGGACCCCTCGACATGTGATTGATGTGAGTGAATACTTGAATCCTACTTAATTTTTTATTATTAGTTTCTTGAAGTGGGACTTCTGTGGTCTTCGTAATCTGCCTTGTTCAATTTGTTACTAGTCATTCTGTGTTGTTCCTAAGAATTTTGTACTCGAAGATAATTTACTAGTATTTATTAAACAAGGTAGGTTTACGCCAGACCGCGTCTTGTCGTAACAGGCTTCGCGATGTCTCGCGGCCTATTCCTCCAATCCGCGCCTGGCGTACCTACCTTGGCCTGCGGTGCTAGCCTGCCCTCGGCAGGCATTGGCTTGTCCATCATCGGTTACTTCTTACTTGTTGCATGCAGCCCCCAGACCCCCTTTTATTCTAGATAGAGTTGCTTTATCTACAGATAACACGATCTTGACCTTTGTAACTTTTTAACTTGTCGGCCCCCCAGACCCTCCATTCTTCAAGACAGAAGTGATCTACCTGCAGAAAAATTGATTTTTCGCCGTTTTTAAGGTGTTTTTCGCCTATAAAAACTGAACCACGTGAGCTGGGATAGTGAAATTTCGCGTGTGCCGAGCCAGGGACATGTCTAATAACCCTGCAAAATCTCAGCCAGATCGGCCGAGCCGTTCAGGAGGAGTAGTGCACACACAGACACAGACGGACGGACGGACGGACACACAGACAAAACTTTCTAACCGCACTGGAGTAACGGGCTTCGCTATCGCTCAGCCAATAAGTCAGAAGTGCAATGTTTCTCATTGAATGTATGTGTACTTTTCTTACTATATCTTGTGCCATGGTCTTTCCTTAAAGAACTTAAATTCACTCCTTCAAAAAAATGTTTCTTCACTGATCCCTGCCCGAAGAAGAAAAACGTCAATGTTGGCACTGAAATTCGAAGGGTGACACATCTGACCGATTTTCGGTGATACAAAAAGTATGACCGAAAAACGGTCGTACACAAATGTATGACCAAAAAAAGGTCACACATCAGCGAGACTGGCTACTGTTTAGCTAGGGGATATATCAGCCTTTACCTGTGACACTATAAAGTATGACCGTTTTTCGGTCATACATCGAAGTATGACCTTTTAACGGTCTTACATTTCAGTAAGACCGTTATAGGGGTCAAAAGCCTGACCTTTCTATTTTCAGTGGGAGCAGGAGAAGCTCAATATTGCACGTGTGTGCTGAGTATTTAGTGCAGTAGTATGAAATGCTAAAAGTACAGTCATTGAAGATCGTTTATTTCGGACTGCCAGCACACGCAGTGTACCCTTCGCTTATTTCCCTCCTAGCACTTCATGATAGCAGGTGCAGCTGCAGGACTGGCATTGCCATTGCTGAGTGATAAATACACAAGTGGGTTCCTGGCAGTCGATGCAGTGGCAGTTGCTGAGCGAGCACAGATTCTTGCACACGAAACCTGAAACACCGACAGACGTGTTTGTTTACATCTTGATTCAAGAAGTCGAAGATACCAGTCTGGGTGAAAGGCATTGCATCCGCTCCTAATTCATGTACTAGTTAGCGGCTCAGCCCTTTTGACTTTTATACGAGTTTCAGAGCATCGGTGTTCCTCATCGCGAGATGAAACTTGTTTAACCCGCCAATCGGTGATTTAAAAAAATTCTGACTATATTATGGGTTTTAAAGACTAGGGGTACGCGCCGTTGAGTGTGGGCGCGTAGTGTGGCTGAGCGATGCGAATTGATATAGTTGATGCACCTCAGACTAGCTTGAGTAGACGAAATGTGCAACTCATGGGCTCAAATTAAGGGAAATGTAGGTCTAGAGGTGATTTTCGTTATCAGCACACAAAACTCTGTTGGGATCAGCGTCAAAGTCAATTTAAAAATTTTAGTCCAAAATTGGTCAAAATTTGGTTAAGCGTGAGTTGGGGAAAAATTTGGAAGTCTTTTTCGCGTTCATCACACCAAAAACTGCAGGAAACAATATAAAACTCGACTTGAAAATTTTGATGCAACATGACCTAATATGGGAGGTCTGGTGTTATAACGGAAGTGATTTTCGTTATCAGCACTCAAAACACTGCAAGAATCAATGGACAATTCAATTTAAAAAAAACTTGACCCAAAATCGGTTTAATTTTGGGTCTGTGGACAGTGTACCGTCAACGGGGGTAACTTGGGACACTTTTTCACGTTTTTGAACGCCAGAGGCAAGATTCTGAACCCAGACCATTGGATTCTAACTATATTAAAGATTGACCCTTTCCCCACGATTTAATGCTTGTCTGGTTCATTTGCCTCGATTAAATCGTTTCCTAGCGGTCTCGAAAGAGTGTCCCAAGTTACCCCATGACCGGGGGTAACTTGGGACAGGAGTAATGAGCTACATTCCCATGCATCTATTGATATCATTGGATGTAGTAAATTTAAGTCACAGCATGTAGACAAAGAATTCAGGCCTAGGAACTCTTGTAGGACCGATATTGGGCTACATCTAGGGCTCTACATGGAACTTTCTTTGCTACTGGTTTTTTCCAGGCATTTTCTTAAAATTTCAATATATGGATTACCAGAAGACAAAACTGGAGAGCAAGGCATCTCTTTCCATCATCAGCGTAAAATCCGAAGTCTATGTTATGTCAGGGACCGGGTCAGTCAACTCCTAGAAGGCTAGGACTGCTGGAAACATGAGGAAAAGACTGTCCCAAGTTACCCCGTAAAATTTCGATTTTTGATAAATTTAAGTCTGGACTGAAGATGGGAAAACTAATATCAACGCCCTTTGGCGAACATTATTGTCTGTGTATAATCTAACAACCCAGAGAGACTTATCGGCCAAATCTGCATTTCACTCCTGGCACTAGGGTCAACTTGTCATTGTTCGACATATTTTGTCAAAAACCCTATTACGGAGTTTCGCGTTTCTCAAATACTAATTGTGATCTTATGCACCTTTTCCACCTTTCCGCGCGTGCCCTGAGGCCTCTGAAAGAAAACCCTGCCACGGGTTTGACGCTAGGAACCCCCGTCGCTGAATGGCAGCACCAACAAGCTGTACAGGGCAGACTGTCCCAAGTTACCCCCGGTGTCCCAAGTTACCCCCGTACGGTACAAGTCAGTATTGAAGTCAGCTCCTAGAAAACAACAGGGAAACGCGAAAATCTCAACTTGGAAAGTTTCGCCCCAAATTGCGTAGCTCTAGATGAAAGTGTAGGTTTGGCATTGAAATAAATGTAGGTTTTGTGACCGGTACACTGAAATCTATACACAACAATATAGACTCAATTTCTGAATATTCCTATTTGTCTTCATGAAGCACCCTCTGTAGTCACCAATCCCCCAATGCCACACCAGTGCGAATCGTTTCAGTCGAGTAATATTCAATTGCCAGCATTGAATCGCTTAATTGGCAACTCGTATGCTTGGGTCACTATTCGATATCTCTTTTTTTTCTAAACTAATGAATTCACAACTTTAAAAGTAATATACAAGAAACATTTTGTCATAATTTCATTGTAAACCAGTCAAATGGAATGTGTTAGGGTAAGCACTGGTAAAACAAAGGCATAAAAATTACGCCCTTTAGGGCATAAATGCTCTTTTACGCCCTTGCAAGGGCATAAATCGTTTTATGCCCTTGGGAAGTGCGTAAATGGTTTGGGAATTCCAAGCAAAATTTTAATGCCCTTCCCAAAGGCATTAACGATTTATGCCCTTTAAGGGCATAAATTTTATGCCTTTGTTTCACCAGTGAGGTTACGAAACATGGATCACTTTTCAAATAATCTTGTCTATATCGAAATTAAGTATGGGTTTACTACTTTTTTTGTATCTTATCTTTTGATGTTAACCATACTGGTCATATGGCTACCAAAAATGGTACCTCTAACTTAAATACTTTGGAAGTTGCGAGGACAAGAGAATATGCCTGTTCTTTGGTAAGGTTAGGGCGGTCCAATCATGGATCCTGTTGTTTCGTTAACACGATGTTTACGACCCAATTAAGTAACAATAATAACATCCCTGTAGGATATTGTGTTGTAATATTACAGTGGATTTTTTACAGTGTTTCCTACAATGATGTATGTAGCATTGACACTTCGCTCAAACTGAGAAGCGCTGTAGGATCTCTCAGTTGACGGCCACTGCAGTGGCGTCTGGTTACACTCAGTGGGTACACTCCAAATCCAAGGTGTCTAGAAACTATACGCCTTAGGCGCATGCCACAGAAATGGAACTGCCTTAAGGCGCCTTGAAACTAGACGCCAAAGGCGTATACCCCATTGAGCACCTTTTGCAGATAGAAGTTAGCATGTGAGCACCATTGGTCGAAGGAAAGGTGCGTGCATTGTACACACCCTGGATCATAGGCACTGAGCTCAACAGGACTCAAGGTGCGTAGAATGTAAACACCCTTTAAGGCCTCGGTAGGCATGGCCTCGGCCAAGGGCGGTGTTTGCATTCAACGCACCTTGAGTCCTGTTGAGCTCAGTGCCTATGATCCAGGGTGTGTACAATGCACGCACCCTTTTCCCTTTGACCAATGGTGTTCACATGCTAACTTCTATCGGGAAAAGGTGCTCAATGGGGTATACGCCTTTGGCGTGTAGAATCAAGGCGCCTTAAGGCAGTTCCATTTCTGTGGCATACGCCTAAGGCGTATAGTTTCTAGACACCCTGGATTTGGAGTGTAGAACACCGTCTCAGGCGGCCTTAAACTCAAGACACTTCTTGAGCTCCGGGCTTGTCAAACATGACTGGAACGAGAATGAGACCCCACCAATAGATTCCTCGCTTGGAGAGCAATCCATTGGTGCGGTCCAACGTTTGGTTCACGTCGTAGCACAAAACGTGTCCGAGATTTTGACCGCCACCGCCGGTCCTCTGGCCCACTGTAGCAGTGGCCCTCGATCGCGAGAATTCAGAGCTTCCCGTTTCAACGGAGTTCAGTGAGCCTTGCACGCGAGACACGTGCCTCTGCCGGTGACGGGGGAAGTCCCGTTGGTGACGGTCAAGGTGGCCACGCCCTTGGTGGTACCGTCCGCCGCGCACACCACCACCACGGCCAGCAGGGCGAGCAGCGAGCACACGGTGAAGGACGGCATCTCGCGTCGGTCCTCGCAGTGGACTGGCGCACCCATTGTGGGCGGGCAGCAAGCAGCGCCAGGCCGCCGTCGAGGTCTGTTGGCCGCGCCCTGCCCGGGCACACCGCTAGAGAGATATCAATGCCACCGCGGCAAAGACTGCAGTTACAACTCCGTTCGGACAGCATGTACTCTTCCATACATCACTTGTACACTCTAACACTGAGCATTTGGGTCAAGTTGAGTTTCAATTTGAGTTTATCAATTTATCATCTTTGGTTCCCGAGCAATGAAGGTTTTAGTTATTAGTGTACAAATGTCATGGACTGAACACATTCAACTGAGTGAATCGTGGAATCCCATAGCGAATGACAGTAGTGTCACATTAGTCTATCGAGAAAACGAGCGCAACGAAGGTTGGCAGCGTTGTTTTATGGCCGAAGTTTTCTACACTCTTAGGGTACTTGGGTTAAATGTCTGGCTGAATTTGGAATCTATAAGGAACACATTACAAGACAAAATGAAACTCCTTAAGGTAGGAAAGGGTTTTCAATGAAAACTAGGCACTTTAAAAAAAGGGGGCTTCAATGAGTATTTCCCACCGTAAGTGAGGTGTCTGTTTCAGTCCGGCCAAGGTCCAAACCTTCAATTACAATGCAAGGATGTTGAAAGTTATGTTTGGATCAAACTTCACACCCCTCCCCCACGCGGGTGAGGTGGTTGCCGACGACGAGGAAGTGGAGGACCTCCTGCAGATGCACTTTGTGGAGGAGATGGGGCGAGGAGACGTTGCTGCGGCGGTGCCCCAGAACGACCGCATGTGAGTTTGCCTTCGGGCTTTGCTAGCTTGCCTGGCTTGTGTTTCTAAGTGGCAAGTGTCTTATCTGTCCCTTCTGCTTGCAGACGTGAGCTCGACGACACTGTCGAAACGGACTCAGCATTACTGCTGCTGTCCCTGCGCAGGGCCGGGGCGATACTCAATTGTATCGCCAAACAAGGTACCAAAAGTATTGCCGTTGGATTTACAGTGACGTAAAAAAGAATTTGTTGTGACAACGAAAATGTATGTTGATTTTGGGATAGCTAAAAGAAGTTGTTGGGCGTACTATCAATTTTTTGTCAGAACGAACATTCACTGTAAAAATAATGTTGTGAATTTACGACGGAATATTTGACGAAGGTTTTTGGGAATGTCCAAAAGTGCACTGTATATGTTTCTTTCCTACAGGAACTTTTTGGCTGAGCGACAGCGAAGCCTGTTACTCCAGTGGGGTTGAAAAACTTTTTCTGTCTGTCTGTCTGTCTGTTTGTCTGTCTGTGTGTGTACACTACTCCTCCTGAACGGCTCGGCCGATTTTGCAGGCTCATTAGGTATGTTCTTGGCTCAGCACACGCTAAATTTCACTTTCCTAGCTCAACTGGTTCGGTTTTTATAGCCGAAAAACACCTAAAAATGGCGAAAAATCGAGTTTCCTGCAGGTAGATCTCTCCTGTCTTGATGAAAGGGGGGTCTGGGGGGCGGAGCCCCCCAACCTGACAAGTTGAAAAGTTACAAGGGACAAGGTCGTGTAATTTGTAGATGAAGCAACTCTATATAGAGTGAAGGGGGGGTCTGGGGGGCGGAGCCCCCCAGCATGCAACAAATCAGAAGTAACCGATGATTGGGTAAGCATTGCCTGCCGAAGGCAGGCTAGAGCCGCAGGCCAAGGTAGGTACGCCAGGCGCGGATTGGAGGAACAGGCCGCGAGACATCGCGAAGCCTGTTACGACAAGACGCGGTCTGGCGTAAACCTACCTTGTGTACATAAACGTAGGTTCGTCGTTAATTTACGAAGGTTCTTGTGCGGCCCCCTCCTCTCCAGCGTTCCACCACCCGAGAGTCATTTAACGCCCAGACTCTGTCTTGTACTTTTGCATCCTGACTCCCCGAGATCAGGAGCCACACAGCCACGACACAGTGAACTTCAGACTTAGCAACATTTAATCTGATACTTTTCGATGTGCTGATCACGAAAAGAACATCAAGCAATTCTGGAACAAAATTTTGGTGTCGAGTACAGCATTGTTTCCGGTAGTTTTCGATGCGCTGAGAACAAAAATGACAACCAATTTGCTTCTAAACCTACATTTTGACCAAAAATTAAGTAGTTTCACACCATGCGCCGCAGGCCATGGTAGGTGTAACGCTGGGCTCGGATCGGCGTAACTGGCGTAGCAACGCGATGCCAGTTACGCCGAGACGCGGTCTGGCGTACACTAGGCCGGGCCAAAATGAGGGTCACTTTCGATTTTTCGACTGCCCGGTCGCTTTTCTGAAAGGGGGAGGTAAGAGAAGCCTTTCTTCAAAATTTGAGTGAAATCAGACGTGGGGAAGTACCCCCCCACGGCCTTTTTTTTTGGGCGTTTGCGGGTTGCCGCCGGCAGCCGCGTCTATTTACCCCATTCCAGCCGAACTTGCCGCGAATTTCGGAGAAAGGACCTTGTGCCGCGCAAGAAGGGTCGCCTATGGAGCGTCTCGATGCGTCGTTTTGCCGCCAGGCACCTACCGCAACACGCTAGGGCGTAAGTGACGCAAAAATTGAAATTTCACCCTAGCGCATTTTCTGGTTGGCGCTCGGCTGAAATAACACATGGCGGTTGTGGGGACGTCCGGGTCATCAAACTGCCCATAGCGTGCCAACTGCCCCCACCTCGGAATACCCGAGAACGGACGAAAAGGGCATACGCGCCGCGCGGGACGTGTTTGAATTGCGCGCGCTTTGGTGCCAAGCGGAGTGGAGGGGGAACACCCTCACCTGCCACCTCACTCGTTCACCGGCCCAGCACGTTGACAGTCATTGTTCATCAAGGCAGTGAAGATAACAGCCCCAGGAAACACTGCGTGCACTTCAAATCCGCGCTGCGCTGTGACCATTTTACACTTGGGGTAAGCCGACTGCCCCCCCTCCACTCCGCTCGGCACCAACGCGCGCGCGATTCAAACACGTCCCGCGCGGCGCGTATGCCTTTCGTCCGTTCTCGGGTATTTCGAGGTGGGGCAGTTGGCACGCTATGGGCAGGATGAACCTGGACGTCCCTCACAACCCCCATGGTTTTTTCTGCCGAGCGCCAACCAGAAAATGCGCTAGGGTGAAATTTCAATTTTTGCGTCACTTACGCCCTAGCGTGTTGCGGTAGGTGCCTGGCGGCAAAACGACGCATCGAGACGCTCCATAGGCGACCCTTCTTGCGCGGCACAAGGTCCTTTCTCCGAAATTCGCGGCAATTTCGGCTGGAATTGGGTAAATAGACGCGGCTGCCGGCGGAAACCCCGCCACGCCCAAAAAAAAATGCCGGCGGGGGTACTTTCCCCCCGTCTGATTTCACTCAAATTTTGACGAAAGGCTTCTCTTACCTCCCCCTTTCAGAAAAGCGACCGGGCAGTGGTTCGAATTTTTTTTGGCCCACCCTAGCGTACACCTATCTTGTCAATATTCCTGGATGTTAATAAAAACGAACGGGACGGGTCAAAGAACGATTTTCATCGCAACATTTCCTGTGATTCGATGCGGAATGACAACGTTGGAAAGCGTGTCGTCAGAAACCAATCGGCCAGACTGGTACACACGGCATGCTGTGTAAACTGTGTGTTCGCTGAGGTCAGTCGAGTGACTAACTTGCACCGGATTCCTCGCAAAGTCCCAGGAGCGCCATCTGTCGCTTTTTCACCATTCGCAGGTATGCGCTATCATAATTAGATTGAAGAGACATGCTCTGCGAGAAGTGCGTGTCAGATGCCGTGCCACGCTACGCTTCACCGCGCCGGGGTTTCTCTCAAACACCCAGGAGGCACACTCTTCGCTCAGACGACTCTGCAGCACCATGCTCCGCACTCTGCTCGTCGTCGTGGCCCTTGGCGTTGTGATGCAAGGCGAAGGGGTTTCATGACTATGGGACTGAACTGATGGCAGGAAGAACACAGTGTGTAGGGGCCTGTGCCTATCCCTGACGCTTGAGGCGGCCGCTAGCGTAAGCCTAAGCGTAAGCTTACGCTGCCGTAAGTAAACATCATAGGGTCAGTTGGAGTCATTTGGGACACAGGGTAAATGGGACAGCTGATTATTCGTGTGGTCAAGGTCTGCCATTGTTGAGATCACCCCACATCAAATGTGATGGTCAGGAATCCTTAACGTACCTCTTAGGTGCATCGTCACGTTATCGTAAGCGTTTATAGAACCCGCAACTTAGGATTTCTTTAAGAAAGGATAACTTACGCTTCAAGCTTTTCTAATTTGTATCTAGAATCTTTAAGAAGTACTAGGAACGAGGCAGTCCATACCCTCAACCTTTAGGTAACATCATCTTTTGTTACGTTGTGAAATGGGTTTTAGCTAAATGTCATGAAGTCCCTGGTGATGGTTTCATTGTTAATATGAGTTTAAAAATGTAACATCTTGAGCAGGAAACAGCTGCCCCACTTTATACCCGTGCCCCTCAATTATCACAACTGACCCTACCGTGTCACGGCCACTTTAACTGGCCAAACTGAAACGTAATTGGAAGGTCAACATTGGGCCCGCCAGATTTTCTAGACACCATTGATAGAAAAAGAAAAATGTCATTTTCAGTAGACCCTCAAACGCTATATAAATTTTTAGGGCACAAGGAAGTTTCATTTTCTTGGCTGGAATGACAACGCCTTGGGCATGGTTTGACATTCACCAAGGCGTTGTCATTCCAGCCAAGAAAATGAAACTTCCTTGTGCCTGTAAAAGTGTTTGCCGGCAGAAGGTAACTAATGAACAAAGGCAAGAAATATTCAATATTTACCATAGTTTGGAAGACCACTCTTGACAGTGGGACTTTATTGTGAGGCATTCTCAGAGCACCGAAGTAGCCAGAAGAACTACAGAAGATAAGCAGTGACTCGGATACTGTACATCTTTAATACTGTGCAGTGTGAAAACTTTTCTTCGTGAGGAACGGACGCTCCGTAACCCAAAGTTCTGTAACGGACAACGTGTAACGGCCAGTCCGTCCCTACGGAGTGACCGTGTCATGCGTTTCGTCAGAGAACTTTGCGTTACGGAGCGTCCGTTCCGTTCCTCACGGTCTGAAGAGCATTTTGGACTTCTTCACGAACGGTAAACCGAAACGGCAACCTCCGGTGTAAAATAAGCGGTACATTTTTCGTTAAATTTCCGTACCGTCAACGGGGGTAACTTGGGACACCGGGGGTAACTTGGGACAGTCTGCCCTGTACAGCTTGTTGGTGCTGCCATTCAGCCACGGTGGTTCCTAGCGTCAAACCCGCGGCAGGGTTTTGTTTCAGAGGCCTCAGGGCACGCGCGGAAAGGTAGAAAAGGTGCATAACAACACAATTAGTATTTGAGAAACGGGAAACTACATAATAGGGTTTTTGACAAAATATGTCGAACATTGACAAGTTGACCCTAGTGCAAGTAGTGAAATGCAGATTTGGCCGATTAGTCTCTCTGGGTTGTTAGAACATACACAGACAGAAACGTTTGCAAAAGGGCGTTGTTTATAGTTTTCTCATCTTCGGTCCAGACTTCAATTTATGAAAAATCGAAATTTTTGGCTGAGCGATAGAGAAGCCCGTTACTCAAGTGGGGTTGAAAAGTTTTGTCTGTCTGTCTGTCTGTCTGTGTGTCTGTCTGTCAGCACTACTCCTCCTGAACGGCTCGGCCGATCTGGCTGAGATTTTGCACACTTTTTGGGTATGTCCTTGGCTCGGCACACGCGAAATTTCACTATCCTAGCTCAACTGGTTCAGTTTTTATAGGCGAAAAACACCTAAAAAACGGCGAAAAATCGAGTTTTCTGCAGGCTAATGCCTTCTGCCTTGAAGAAAGGGGGGTCAGGGGGTCAGAGCCCCCCAGCCCCGGCAAGTTTAAAAGTAACAAGGGTCAAGATAGTGTTATCTGAAGATGAAGCAACTCTATCTGAAATAAAGGCCCCCCAGCATGCAACAATTTAGAAGTAACCGACGATGGGCAAGCCATGGCCTGCCGAAGGCAGGCTAGCGCCGCAGGCCAAGGTAGGTACGCCAGGCGTGGATTGGAGGAACAGGCAGCGGGACATCGCGAAGCCTGTTACGACAAGACGCGGTCTGGCGTAAACCTACCTTGTACGGGGTAACTTGGGACAGTCTTTTCTTCGTGTTTCCAGCAGTCCTAGCCTCCGAAGAGTTGACCGACCCGGTCCCTGACATAACTTAAACTTCGGATTTTACGCTGATGATGGAAAGAGATGCCTTGCTCTGCAGTTTTGTCTTCTGGTAATCCATATTTTGAAATCTTCAGAAAATGCCTGGAAAATACCAGTAGAAAAGAGAGTTCCACGTAGAGCCCTAGATATAGTCCAATATCGGTCCTACAAGAGTTCCTAGGCCTGAATTCTTGGTCAACATGTTGTGACTTAAATTTATTACGTCCATTAACATCAATAGATGCATGGGAACGTAGCTAATTACCTACTGTCCCAAGTTACCCCCGGTCATGGGGTAACTTGGGACACTCTTTCGAGACCGCTTGGAAACGATGTAATCGAGGCAAATGAACCAGACAAGCATGAAATCATGGGGAAAGGGTCAAACTTTAACATAGTTAGGATCCAATGGTCTGGGTTGAGAATCTTGCCTCTGGCGTTCAAAAAACGTGAAAAAGTGTCCCAAGTTACCCCCGTTGACGGTACCACGCTTTACAAAGCACAGGCTCTTATGGGAGGAGTGGTACGGCAGATGTCCGTATCACCATTTCAGTGGGTATACGGAACGCCGTAGCATGCTCCGCATCAGACACTTTTGGCAGTGTTCAGAGGTTGAGAGTGTAACGGCATCAAGTGCTGGAAATTCCCTCCAGAAACAGGTGCACGGTGTCCGAGGTTCGACCTTCTGTCTTGAATGATCCTCGGAATGATCTTCTGTCTTGAATTAGAACACAGGACAACTACGCCTTCAACCAGATCGACGAGTTGGTGGACCGCATCTCGGTGTGCCTGAAGCCTGTGCCCCAGGGCGGCTTCAACAATCCCGCCGCCGACTGCATGTACAAAGCCCGGGACAACTTGATGAGCGTCTACGTCAAGGAGACTCAGGCCGCGTTCATCGCCTCGTGCCTGCTGAACTACAGGAACCCTGTGAAGGCCGACATCGTGGCCACCGCCAAGAAGTGCCTCACCGAGTCCCTTGCCAAGCCCGTCAAGCCTGCGCTCAAGGTGGGGTTCGAGCGAGGGTTCGAGTGGCGGTAATCATATAACTTCTTGCTTAGTACGGTCTGTGTAGGGGTAGGTTGGGGAAGAAAAGTACAGGGTAAGAAAAGTACACCCCTCTTGGAGCTGATGCACCGCTAAAACAAAGGCATAAAAATTATGCCCTTTAGGGCATAAATACTCTTTTACGCCCTTCCCAAGGGCATAAATCGTTTTATGCCCATGGGAAGGGCGTAAATGGTATAGGAATTTCCAGCAAAATTTTAATGCCCTTCCCAAAGGCATTAACGAATTATGCCCTTTAAGGGCGTAAATCGTTTACGCCCTTAAAGGGCATAATTTTTATGCCTTTGTTTCACCAGTGTGTCTTGACTTTTAGTCATCCCTAACGACTAGTGATTTCAACTTAACATGAAAATCTGGGTGTGAAAACACTATTAAATGGATGTCGTGGACTGCAGCAGTACGCCGCAACGGGGGTGTACTTTTCTTAACCTGTACTTTTATTCCCCAACCTACCCCTAGAGCATACGACAGGCACAGTCAAACTACTGTAGAATCGCATTCAGCGCCGCGCTGAGGCACAGTACTTTGGGTCTTGAGAAAAAGTTACTGCACTCCGATTGTGTAACGTAGAAACTCGTCCTGCAGGCGTTCTACTCCGCCAAGCAGCGCGAAGAGACAGGCAGCCGCATCAGGGCGTGCCAGTCTAGCATCGTGGAGCCTAAAGGCTCCAGCCCCGCCGCCGACTGCCGCAACGACGCGCTCATCGAGGCCCAGAAGGGCTACCCCAAGGAGTCCCTGGCCGACTTCATCGCGCCTTGCCTCACCGGCAAGAACATCGACGCTGCGCTCGTGGCTGAGGCACGGACATGCATCGTCGCCTCCCTGGCCAAGCCTCTGCACACCCGTTAAGTCGCCCCGATGGCTCTGGAGTGAGAACCTCTGTCTTCCAGGGGTTGTTATGAATAAATGACTTTCCGCCGCAGGAAACGTGCTGATCTTCTTCCCTGCGATGCTTGCAATAGCGTCTCATGTTTCAATAATGGCAGTAACATTTTTAAAGTGTAGGTGAAATGTGCCTTTCTAGCAGTTCTATCTTTTTATTCCAAAAAAAATAAATAAAAATGGAATGCTTTTCACGATTACGATAAGAAAACGTACACTGAGAATCCAAACGCTGTGAGTATATAGTAATGTCTCCCCATTCCCATGCATTAGTATGGGGCCTTTTCGGGACGCATTGCACGTAAGGTGCAATATGGCTATTGCATTGCACGTATGGAGCGATATCTCAGCGGCATTGCACCATACGTGCTATACTCATAGCGTGCGGAATCTCAGCGAAACGGTTACCAAAGCGTTTGTCGACTCGTTCCTGTGAGTGCCCCCTCCAGAAAAAATAAAGGATTGCGGTCAAGTTAGATTCCTTGCATAACCTAGCACGGTCCAGAAGTATAAAACGATGCTGGGTGTACGTGGTTTTCAGTCATAAGATTCACAAGTTGAAAAGTATGTTTCATACAAAATAACTTTATTATATCAAAGGGTGCCACACGTATCAATCGAACTCAATTTTAAAGTAACATGACGTGAACCAATATGTGGAACAAACAAATACTGTAGCATCAAACATAAAACTAATACGGAACATAAACTAATACGAAAACATAAACTAATACGGATAAAACGGACTCATGAATCGTCATAAAAAATAGTAACATGACGACTCTTTAACTTATAAAAAGATGAAAAACTGAATCACTACTAATCGTCCCAAATAATAGTACTCTAACGACTTAAAACTTTGGAGATCAGGAAATAATAAACTAAGAAACTCGTCTTTGCTTGTGATTAACATCATCACCGAGAAGCTAAATCCTAAATATTCTAGAGCGCTATTCGATGGCTACTAAAAACGTAGACCCATCTCCAGAATGTAATCATAACCCGTCACTACCTCGCGCAGACAGGTACGAGGTAGGAGGCGGCTTAATATCTCAATTTAGGGGAGAGGTCTTAGTTCTTTGAAGCCATCGTGATAAGATCCAATGAGTGATGCAATTTTGAAGTACGTCTGTAAATGATGCCATGTTTTATTTTGACAAGGCAATCCAAACCGTTTAACAAATGAGCAGTTAAGGAGAGGCATAAGACAGATGGAAATAAAACTGCATCACTGTTGGAAGCTCTCAAAATGGCAACGTTCGTCGGACAAACACTAACCTAAACTATAACTAAAGAAAAAAAAAAGGCTGGACAATTGTCTTTCCAACTTAACGAAATGGCAAGAAATTAGCTCATTTGCGTCATTATCAAATCATTCGGATGACCACCAGCTTCGGGGTTGAAATCTATGGGCGCTGATTTGACGACACTGCAAAAAAAAAGGGAACGACAGTTGTCTAAGAGACTAGCAAATATGTAAATCGATTGTTTAAGAAATACATTAAAAACGGGCCCATGTGAAAGCTCCTGGAAGCGTAAATTCCCATTGATTTCTCAGGCGGCCGAGAAAATGCAAGTGACGAACGTTTAATTTCCAGATATGCAACGTTACAAGATTCCCGGCCACAAATTTGAATTTTGATTTGAAAACATGGAGCTTGAGAATGAAAGAGTCACCATCATCGCCCTTACATTGGGTCACGCACGCATCGTCGCTCAAATTTGAGTGACGAGCCAGCGGTGACTAAATTTTAAGAACTGAAAAAATCATTGCCCAAAATTGGGCAACGTCGTCGGCTACGCCTCAGGTCACCGATGACGTCCTTCTGGGGCCACCACGTTGGCCGCCATGTGGCGTTGAGGCCTCCAGGTCTCACGGCGCTTAACGTCGAAGTCACATTCTTTCTTCAACCAGTACTTTCAGAGATACTAGGACGTACCGCGAGGTCGCCGTCCAGGTGGAGCGGAAAGTGCACACTAAATTCTTATGGACTTTTTAAATGCATAAAACGCATTTTTTATTTATGCAAGTTATGCATGCGCAGAAACGTCCATAAGGTATGTATAAAATTATGCATCACTGTGTACATTTTATGCATCTTCCTGCATAAAATGTGCACAGTGATGCATAATATTATACATAACGTAAGGACGTATCTGAGCATGCATAACTTGCATAAAAAAGTCCATAAGAATTTAGTGTGTGGTGATTTTTTTCGAGGCTTGAGGAGCTCTGCTCACGAACCTACTTCCCGGCCCACCTGGAAACCAAGTTTGGTCACGTTCCAGCCAGCCGTTTGTCCAGGATGGCGATGAACATCACCCAATCAGCAGAAAGAGTCCAAAAGCCCAGCTGTTCGACGCCACCCTGGATGGCTGGCCGGAACTTGCCCAACTTTGGTTTCCCAGTAAGCCGGGACCTCCTCAACCCAACATACGCCAAAACTGCCGGACACCAAGTACGTTCGAGGGCAGAGCTTACTTTGACCGCGAAAAGTCACCACTTCCTCCTCTGCCTGCACGGCGACCTCGTGCGGTACGTCCTCCTATCTCCGAAAGTACTGGGCGTAGAACGAAACTGACTTTTGCGTTGGTCACCGTGAGACCCGAAGGCCTTAACGGGCCACGGGAGTCTTCATGGTGGCCCCGAAAAGACATCATCGAGGACCTCACGGCGTGGCTGACGACGTTACCCAAATTTGAGCGATGATCTTTTGACTGATTACAAATGAGTCACCGCTGGCTCGTCACTAAAATTTGAGCGACGATGCATGAGTCTCCCAATGAAAGGGCGATGATGGAAACTTCAGTGAGAATGAGAGAGACATGATCATGACAAAAATTTGGGTAAGGAATTCTTTATTACCCAAATTTGGGTGAGGAAGGTTTCTTCGCCTTTATTTGGGCAATAAAGAATTCCTCGCGCAATTTAGGGTCATAATACTATAGAGCCATATACGTAGCTGATACATCGTTCCTCACCCAAGTTTGGGTGATAAAGTATACCTCGCCCAAAATTGGGCATTGATCAAGACTTTTTCATTCTCAATGAATTCTCTAAGAGATTTTGACCACGAAGCTCAATAGTGGGAACCGATACGTGACGTCAAAAAGGAAATTCGTCCTCACCTAGTCTGTAGTGCGAACCGACGCGAACTACGGTGGGGAGCCCCCGCCCTCCCAGCGTCCCGCGACAGCGATGCTCTTGCAGCGACAGCGCTCTCTCGCCGCACCGCGGGCAGGTCGGGTAGCGCCGCATGCACGTCCTCTCGTGGCAGCGGGCGAAGTCCGGCTTGACGAAGAAACGGGAGCAGTGTTTGCAGACGTGGCTGCAAAAATAACGACGAACTGCACTGAGAAAACCTTACAAACTATTTTGGGCCTTACAAAGAAAAGTAGTTTGTACAACAAAGTATTTTGAGCATACGTAAGCTTACAAAGAAAATACTTCGTAATTTACGAACTATTTCTTCGTATAACAAAGTATTTTAGTTTGTTATATGTATGCTCAAAATACTTCGTAAGGTTTTAAGAGTGTGGTATACAAGAAACTTCAAAGAAAATGCAATAGAAAGGTATCGCCAAAAAATAGTGATAAAAGTTACTACAAAATGCCCTTTTATCGACAAAATTAAGGGAAGGTTCTGGTGAAAATCTTGCCATTTTCCAAATGGATCCTGCAGTCATAATGTGTTCGGAATATAACATTTTTCATTGAGGAGACTAAAATTTGACTTTTGAAGGCACATGCCAGGCTGTAAACCCAGTCGAAGAGTCTTTTTGAGCCTATTTCGGCTGTATCTTAAAAAATCTCCTTGTGCATACTATTTTGACGTAAAAGGTTGACCTTGACATTTTTCACTTCTTGGACTCATTTTTAAAAGATTCCGGCATGCACAGCTCAAAACTTCCATTACATTATTAATTATAAGCTTTTTAAGATGAAAAGTCGCTAAAATTTGTCTATTTTGTACATTTTTGATCAATTATAGTGAAATGCTTGGTTAGAAAGCTTGCGAATAAAAATGCAATTGACATTTTAAGATGTGCATGCCGGCGTTTTTAAAAAATGAATCGAAGAAGTGAAAAATGTCTAAGCCAGCCTTTTATGACAAAATAGTATGCGTAAGAAGATTTTTAAAGTTATAGCCTAAATGGGAGAAAAAGGCTCTGCGACTGGGTTCAGGGCATAGAATGTGCCTCCGCAATGAAAATTTTGAATAAATACTTGATAAGACATCAAATTTTTAACAAATTTTCACAATGGGACCTATTTAGGAGAAAATAGCATTTTCACCAGAACCTCCCCTTAAACGGTGTTTATTCAAAAAAAAAAAAAAAAAATTAAGATGCAATACCGAAATTATTGCACTCCAGGGTGCGGTAGATCGTGGGAATCGCATACTCGGTGATATCGCCAAAAATTGTTGTCAAAGTATCGCAAAATGAATGACAGCGCACCACCTCCTTTGGGGATGGCAGGTAGGTCGACCCTCCTTACCCAAAGGAGGTGGTGCGCCCCGTGCCTATTTCAATTTTGTTAAGAGATAATTTCTTGAATGATTCGAGGTAATATTCTTCATCCTCGCGCAAAGAGAGGAAAATAGATACCAATCACTTGTTTCTAGTATGATTTTGTTCTTGCCCTTCAACAAGGTGTTCAAACGAAGCACCTGCCGGCTAAATTTCGAACGGAGCGTCGTAGATATGTGATTCAAACGTGCTCTTGCTCTTCTTTAAGCGAAGAATCCAAAATGTGTTGCGTTTTGTTCTCAAGTTGGTAGAAACAAATTTTGATAGATTTATGCTTATTCGACTCGGCTTGTATTCTGGGAAGGTCCACGACCAGACGGCGCGACCGTCACCGGGCGACCGGACCGTACGGCCCAAGCCAGGTCTCTGCACAGAAACGTCGTCACGATCTATAGCCCTGGTTTTAACGAGCGTGACATCCCGATGGGACGGCCGCGTTACGTTCAAGAGAACGTGTCGCGAGCGTTGAACAACAGAATGCACACCACATTCTTGCAAGGTAAAAGCGGTCCCTGGTTATCCCAGGAACGTCCTGGAAATCGTCTAGGTCTCTACCATAGGGTTCCTGGAAAAACCAGGTACCGTTTTTACCTTGTGTGGACTGTTTAAGGGATATGCATGCACAGATACGTACGTAAGGTGTGTACAATATTCTGCATCACTGTGTGCATTTTGTGCAGAAAGATGCCTAATATTGTGAACATCTTACGTACGTAACTGTGCACACATAGTAGACGTATAAAAAGTGCATAGTTATGCACTCACTGGTAGCCAACGAATATGACGTCATATTCGTACGAATGTAAATTTTGTCACGTTCGTATGAATATAATGTCACATTCGTTTGAATGTTGATCCACGTTCAAACGAATGTGACACCCCACTTAAACGGCCGAGTCACGTTCAAACGAATGTGACACCATATTCAAACGAACGTGACAAAATTCACACTGCAACGAATATGACGTCACATTCGTTGGCCACCAGTGCTTAAAGAGTCCGCAAGAGCTAAGTGTGCGCCGGTGTGCGCGCTCATGCACGTACCTCGGGTGGCTGAAGAACGAGTGCTGCTTGAGCTGCTGCAGGCTGGCGAAGCCCAGGCGGCAGAGGCAGCAGCGTTTGGCCCGCTCCGTCGGGCTGGCGATGCGGCGGCGGCCGCGTGGAGGCGTCCGCGAGGAGGGACGCTGGTCGCTCGGCACCACCTGCTCCAGGGGCACGTCGGGCAGCGACGGGGCCTGGCAGCGACGGGGCAGGAGTGGTCACAGGTCACGTTCGTTTCAATGTTTGTCGCACACTAAATGTTTTTGTACAGATTTGGTACGATACATCACAGTTTTTGGGTGCACACGAACGTTTCGTACATACTTGTACAAAATTTTGTACAATTTTGTTCAAAAATGGCGAAAAATGTGCAGTTACTCGTACGAACATTTCGTGTTCAGAAAAGCTTGCAAAGAAAAGTACTTTGTAGTACAAAGCATTCTCCGGCATTGTATAGCAAACTCCTTTGCGAACTTTTTTCTTCGCATTGCAAAGAAATAGTTCGTAAGTTGCGAAGAAAAAAGTTTGCAACGTTGCGAAGCATTGGTTTGTAACGTTGCAAAGCATTTTCTTTGCAAAGTTGCAAAGAACTACTTCGCAATGCAGAGAAAATAGTTTGTAAGAGAGTTTGCAATACAATGCCGGAGAATACTTTGGAAGGTTTTTGGAGAGTACAAGAAAATACTTCGTAATTTATGAGCTATTTGTTCATTACAAACTACCTAATTTGTCCTTTCTTCAAGCTGCAAAAGAACGTTCACTGTAGAAGTTGATCCGTCCCGAACACAGCCAACCAACACCTTGCGTTTGCAGCACAAACTGAGATAGATCGTCACCTCTGAGCTGCTGCTGACGTTGTGACACGATGTCTCTTCTCCTTGCTCCGCCCCTGGCTTTCGGTCCCGTCTCCTGCGCAGCTCGTCTCTGTCGGCCTCGGCGATCCTCTGGGCGACTCGCTCCTTCAACGACAGAGGCTGAGCTGCGGAGAGAAACATCCCGAATCACGGAGTGTTTGGAAACGTCCAGACAGCTCAAACACCACGACAAGTTCGGTTGCAACAAGAACAAATCAAGAAGGCCAAAATTGATTATCATAATTTTATAAGAATGCATCTTATCATGTATTATTCTGTCCCTGTCGCGGGTATATTTTTTTTTTTTTCGAAAATATAATTGAAGTGCGAAGGAACCTACGCTTAACCGGAGGTACCTTTGATGACTCCCAATTCGATTCTTCGTGTTAAAATCGCTACCAGAGAAGAAGCGAAAAGCCTACACACTAAATTCTTATGGACTTTTTAAATGCATAAAGACGCATTTTTACGCATAGTTATGCATGCGCAGAAACGTCCATATGTTATGTATAAAATTATGCATCACTGTGTACATTTTATGCATCTTCCTGCATAAAATGTACACAGTGATGCATAATATTATACATAACATACGGACGTATTTGTGCATGCATAACTATGCATAAAAAAGTCCATAAGAATTTAGTGTGTAATATTCATTTCTTTTAGATACAAAAAGACTGTGCGATGCATGCTCTTCTAATTGCGACCGGTTCGAAGTTGCGTACGACTAACTGCTGTCCGAACTTTAGCGGCAAAAACGTGGTTTTCCCAGGCACTCACTGGAAATAGCCTGTTTATACTATACGCTACCTGGTCCTGGGAAGACACGAACAAAAGATATTTTTCTATGACGGTACGTTACCTGCAACATTGGACGTCGCACTGGGAGCGTTGTCCACGCCGTCGTCCGTGGCTGTCGCTTGCCCTTCTTCGCCATTTCCACAGTGGTCCTCGCGCTTGGTCGTCCCGAACAGGTCCGTCCTCGGCTTCAACAGCACGTGAGGTGGGAACACGTCGGAGACGATTTGTTGCAGCTTCAAGGTCACTGCGTCAGCTGCAAAAGCACAACAGGAATATGGACAACGTTTCTAGCACGATTGAAATACGAGCCGTTTAAGGGCGCAGTGACAAAGCAAATCTGCATGCAGGCACCATAACTGGCTACCAGGCTACACTACTTTCGATCATGCAACCCTATGTACAGTCATTGACACGTGGTGAAATTTCGAGTCCAGTGCGCAGTGCATTTACAGATCAGCCTACACTGACAGCATGGCATATTGCAAGGAACCATGCAACACATGAATACAAAGGAAAACATTCACTGTAAGAGAATTGCAGCTATTAAGAATCAAAACAAATTAACTGAGCATGTCTTACAACAGTGTTGGGATTATTACTAATTGCAATTACAAGGAAACAAGAAAACAAGGAAACACAGTTTTGGACAAAATAATAGACAAAACAAAATGGTTGAAACATTTGAAAAAAAGCTCCGTTCAATAACAACTCAAACAAAATGCATTAACAGCTATATGGAGACCCTGCTGATGCCTTGTATTGTCGACTTATTTGCTTCACCAAAACTCTTCAAAATCTGAGTGCCTTCCAAGTGACAAGCTTTAATGGAAAACACGAGGATGGCATTCAGAGAGGAACACTGAAAACACAAAACAACAAACATTTATTAGTGTCACAATAGTGCTTTGAACGTGCACCAGTTACTGGCCTGTGAAGACAGTGCACCAATACCACAGCAGACGAACCACTGTGCTGTCGTGGGTAGAGAAAACCGCTACGTAACGGCGACAACCAGACCACCTAAAAGTTTGTACTCCGAATGACTTCGGTATGCTTTCCTCTGAATTGCAAGAAAATAAGGTGCCGTTGTTCGCATTAAGGGGGCACACCAGTGAAAATCGGCAAATTTTCGCCTTCTTTTTTATTTTATCTTATTTTTCTGCTATTCATCCCGAGTCGAATACCTCAAACCCCACCCCGAAATTCCGATTACTTTGGCTTGTGCACATTTTTCAAGTTGCTGAAAAGGTTATTATTTTTGCATATTTTTGACCAATTGTTAACGTTCAGGGTTTTCACTTGAACTTCAATTACAAAACCCTTGAACCACCCAAACGCAGTTGAAAAGAGGAACATTTTGGCGCAAACTGAACTAAAATACGTCAAATGACGCATTTATAATCCGAAAAAACACGTCAAATCTATGTTTCCACTTAAAGGGCTTTTTCTCAAAATACCTATTTTGTACCTTTGTGCCACTCTCACGGGCGCAAAAATTCAGATAATTTAATGCGGTTTGCGGCAAAATGTTCGTTACACTTGCGTCTATGGTCTGAACCTCGGAAATGGCCATCCCATAAGTAGGACGTGAGCTGCAGCCATGAAAGTGCGAAAAAAATTGGTTAAAAAATTTGTTTCTATTTTCGCCTTTTGAAAAAACATATTTAAAATCATTCTTTTTGTATGCCCGTGGTTCAGACCATAGCCACATGTGTCCTGTTGAGAAAATTTCAAATCCCGTGTGCGAAGCTCAATCCAGAGAGGCGGAATCGTGGCAGGAGTGAAGCAAGGTCGTTGAAAAATGAAGTGCACTGGCGCTTCATCTTGCCATCGCCACCTCGCTCTCCCATACTGATTTTCCTTTTCTTTGACATAATTTTGAGCCAAGAATGAAATATCAATCGAATACATCGGTTACTTTTCTCAGAATGATCGTTTTTCGAAACCTCTGCATTTTCACTGGTGTGCCCCCTTAATGAAACTATATTCTAGAATAAAACTCTCTTTCGTCATACGAAACTTTTCTTGGCGTTACAAGAGAAATTTCGTCTTCATATTTTCTGGTGGTCTTTGTCACGTCTTTGTACAGCACAATGTCCTAGAATGTTTTGTACTACACTGGTAAAACTAAAGCGTAACTCTATGCTTGAGTCAAGCATAAAGTTACACTGATCAAAATTTTGTCGTAACTTAGCGACACATTTATCGCTAACTTTTTTAGCGACAAGATTTGTTGTGAAACGAATAGCTTGTTAAACCGTAGTCGTATTGGAACTAAGGGATAATTTCACAACGACTGACTTGTAATAACGCACCAACAATAATACATCAACGACAAGTATTGAAAGTCCAAAAGAAATTTTGTAATGTCTGCGACAATATTCATAGAGTACTTTTGTCGCTAAATTTATTTTGCATGGTTTTATTTTTAACAATAGTAATTTCCATATGACTTAAAAGAACGAAATAGATGATTATTCATAAGATGCTTTAGTTTAGCAGATAATAGGGTACTTCGGAGAAAACCTAGACCGGAAGTCAGCGACAGAACGGGAGAAACAAAAGAGCGTCGCCAGAGCGTCGCGCTGCCGTGCTGAGCGGTGGTGGGGGCGTAGGCGGCGCGCGCATGCTACCCCCACTCTGCCGATTCCGGCCCCCACCACCGCTCAGCACGGCAGCGCGACGCTCTTTTGTTTCTCCCGTTGTGTCGCTGACTTCCGGTCTAGGTTTTCTCCGAAGTACCCTATTGCAAAAGATGTTGTTTCCACACAAATTGTATCGTAAAGAGTGATAACAAGAATTTTGTTCCTCAACGACAAAATGTCGCTTACTAGACTCAACGACACTTGTTTCGCTTTGGTTCATGATGAAATACTATGTTTTGAAACGACAAAGTTTTCACTCATCAGATTGTTTCTGTACAACCATTTTTTAACAGTGTACGCTTGAAGACGTTACGCTTGAAATCAAGCACAGGCTAGAAAGTCCCCCATGCATTTAGATAGGGGGAATCTTGGCAGATGAGCCTGTTACGCTTGATTTTAAGCGTAAACCGATTACGCTTGAAAACAGTGGGTAATACTACGCTTAAGTTTTACCAGTGTACAAGGAAAAGTTTTGTAATGATGTTGCCTGTGTTTTCTAGTGATACAAAAGAAAGTATTGTTTAGGATACTTCAGCAGACATCTGTTATGCACTATTGAGAAAAATCATTAGCACTTAATTTGGAGTGCAAGTACAGTGTGTCCTGTATCTCCAACCGCTGGTATTAAAGTTAACGGTATTCGCTGTAGTCTTTCACTGTGTTCTTGTCACTTAACAAAAACGTGGACGATATTTTCATGACTTTCAAATAATGAGAATCTCATCACAAATTGATGACATTTTCATCAAAGCTCCTGTACTTATTGCATGGGCGTGACAATGTCATCCATTGTTATGATGACATGTTGTAGGGAAAATTAGCCTTGATATTGTCACCAAGGGACGACTCAAAGTTTAAGTGTTAGTCACCGTGTAAGGAGATATATGGAAGCATAGACGTTGTCCATACGAAGAAATGACTTAAGAACTTTGCCGTGGCACTGATATCTCTCGGGCGGTGTGCCGGTGCAGGGCGCGGCTAGCTGCTTGCTGCCCGCGCACAATAGGTGCGCCAGTCCACTGCGAGATGCCGTCCTTCACCGTGTGCTCGCTGCTCGCCCTGCTGGCCGTGGTGGTGGTGTGCGCGGCGGACGGGACCACCAAGGGCGTGGACACCTTGACCATCACCAACGGGACTTCCCCCGTCACCGGCAGAGGCACGTGTCTCGTGCAAGGCTCACTGAACTCCGTTGAAACTGGAAGCTCTGAATTCTCGCGGTTGTGGGCCACTGCTGCACAGTGGGCGAGATCGGCAGAGGCGGTCTAAATCCTGCACGCGTTCACAGATAAATTCCTACTAAATACTGCTCGTTGCAATACAAAAAAAAAAAAAAAACAAGGCTCCGCAGCCTACGAAGGTAATGGTTTGCAATACGAATGATTTTATTTTCAATACAAAGAGAAACTCCTTCGCAGGCTGCGAAGAAGTTCTTCGTAGGCTGCAAAGGGTTTTCTCTTTGTTTTAAAAACAAAATCGTTCGTCCCAGCCGAAAATCCCGGTTACGGTTCCGGAGAAAATCTCCGGTTACGATCGTAAATCGCCCCAAATTTTCCGGTTGCGATCGGAAACCGGACCTAATTTACGGTTACGGTCGGTCACGTCCCGGTTACGACCGGACTCGTTCCGGTTACGATCGGACTCGTTCCGGTTACGACCGGACCCACTCCGGTTACGATCGGATCAGATCCGGGTCCGAGGCCGGACTCGAAGAAGCATGTCCCATGCGTTTAAGTCTCCAGCGAATTTTCAGAAACACTCCATAACTTGTGAACGGTAACTTACAAGGTAGGTTTACACCAGACCGCGTCTTGGCTTCGCGATGTCTCGCTGCCTGTTCCTCAAATCCGCGCCTGGCGTACCTACCTTGGCCTGCGGCGCTAGCCTGCCTTCGGCACGCAATGGCTCGTCCATTGTCGGTAATTTTTTAGGGGTTCCGACGAAGGAGGACCCCTATTGCCCGGGGCCGCTCAGAATTCTTCTTCTACGGACCCCCCAGGATCAACATTTCGTTCCCGCCATATTAATCCTTATCATAATACAATAAAAAATCCAGAAAATCTAAAAAATTTATCGTGGAAATTTCGCGTAAACGACCAAAACATAAATTTGCAACAATCAAGCACCCTTATCCGTTCACATTTTCCAGAAACGTTTCGAAGAAAAAATGTGCCACTCCTCAAAACTAAACTTCCTGCCTCATCAAAGTGACAAAAACTGATCACTGTTCTAAGAAAATGATAAAAACATGAAGAAAAATTCTCGATAAAAACGTCCCACTGCCATTATACCAACTGTCAAAATTGAAAGTCCATCATAAAAAGAAATTAAAACGTGGTAAAATTCACAAATCCCAATGTTCACTCATTGTACACTGATAAAACATTTACACATTATTCAAATCTGTCCTTAGTAAAAACTTCACAGCAGAAAAGACAGAATAAATAAATTTTCCGCAGTTGGCAACAATTTTCCCGGCGTCTGCGCCCTTTCGAAAATCGCGAGGCTGAAAAAAACAAGTAGTCGCACATTGAAACTGCCTCTCCATTGTTGCTGAGGTTGGGTTGTTTGGCTTGCTTTTAAAGGCTGCGGTTCTCTCTCAGCCCCAAAATATAAAATTTACTCCCTTCTTCGTATTTCTAACTTCAAATCTTCTTTCATTAACTTACATTATTTCCACAACCGGAACACCGTGCAATGCGTAAGCATTGGAATTTTTTAACTTCTTGCATGCTGGGGGGCTCCGCCCCCCAGACCCCCTACATTCTAGACAGAGATGCTTCATCTACAGAGAACACGATCTTGACCCTTGAAACTTTTTAAATTGTCGAGGCTGGGGGCTCCTCCCCCCACTCTAGAAACTGAAGAGTGTGCATGGCATGCTCCCCCCAGGGAGTATGCCACAAAGCACGCTCCATCCTGGAGTGTGCTTGCAAGCACACTCTTCTCAGGAGCATGCTTGCCAAGCACGCTCTACGGAGGAGCATGCTTCCAAGCACACTCCAGGATGAAGCGTGCTGCGTCGCTGTTGCAAGGCTCATATGAACGAAGAGGCACGCCTTCATCCTGGAGTGTGCTTGGAAGCATGCTCCTCCGTAGAGTGTGCTTGCCATGCATGCTCCTCCGTAGAGTGTGCTTGCCAAGCATGCTCCTCCGTAGAGTGTGCTTGCAAGCACACTCCAGGATGGAGCGTGCTTTGTGGCATACTCCCTGGGGGAGCATGCCATGCACACTCTTCAGTTTCTAGAGCGTAACCGGGATTTTCGGCTGGGGTATTACAAACGATTACCTTCCTAGGCTGCGAAGCCTTCGGTTTTCTTGTATTGCAACGAGCAGTTCTTTATAGGGTTCTAAGTGCGTTTTACGCTACGACTCGAACCGAATGTGTGACTGCACCAATGGATTGCTCTCCAAACGAGGACTCCAAGCGAGCGTGGAGCTCAAAACGCGTTTGTGGTTAGATGCCACCGGTCTCCTGGCCCACTGAGTGTGTCACTTCGATCACCGCTGTGATCTCGTACAGATGAACTTTTCGTTCGCTTTCCATGCGGAAAACGGCATATATATCCCCCCCTCTCCCCAACATTGTGCGAAAAAGCGTTTTTCTTGTCGAAAAAGTTTAACTGTACAAAAAAGTGTAACGTCCTACACTAAATTTATAGAAAAGCATTTTGAATGGAGAGAGCAGCGTGGAGCTTTCACATTAACGCTATACTTGGCGTATCATAGTTTAAGTAACTGTTGAAACCTTGCGAAGCTTGTGGCCGCATTGAAGTGGCGAAGAGTTTAGTTTGTATTGCAAACAAATTGATTCGCATTACGATCAAAGCTGTTTGCAAATTCAAGAACATTTTACTTAAGAAGTCGCGAACCAATTTGTTCGCAAAAAGGAACCTAGTTATGGGGGCACACCAGTGAAAATGCAGAGGCTTCGTTAAAACGTTATTCTGAGTGAAGTAACGAAGGTAATGGGTTGAAATTTTATTCTGAACTATAAAATATGTCAATTTAACCAAAAAAGTACACGGCAGCCAGGGGCGGCGACGGAAAGGGGGGTTGGGCGCCTTTTTCATTTTTCGGTGACACGGCTCCACTTTGCCCAACTTCGTGAAGCCCTCGATTGAGCCTGAAACATGGGGTTTCAAAATTTCTCATCAGGACACATGTGGCTATCGTGTCAACCACGGACATGTCGGAAACACAATCCTAAATATGTTTTTTTGAGAAGCAAAAAAAGAAACTCATTTTTTGACCATATTTTTCACGTTTCCGTGTCTGTGGCTCAGGCCCTGTACATGCTACGACCATATCCGAGGTTGACACGATAGCGGCAAGTGTAGGGAACATTTTGCCGCAAACCGCACTCAATTATCTCAATTTTTGCGCCCGCAATCGTGGGCACCATGTCCAAAAATATTGTTTCGAGAAAACAACGTTTGAAGTGAAACAACGGTTTACACGCATTATTCCTCATTACGGACGCAATTTATGACATATTTGAGTTCAGTTTGCGCCAAAATATTTCTTTTTCTAACTGCTTTTCGATGGTTCGAGAGTTTTGTCATTGGACTTCAAGTGAAACACCTGAACGTAAACAATTGAGGTAAAATATGCCAAAAAATTACCTTTGAAGGAACTTCAAAAATGTGCCCAAGCCAAAGTAATTGGAATTTTGAGGTGGGGTTTGCGGCGTTCGACTCGGGATGAATAGCAGAAAAATAAGATAAAATAAAAAAAGGAGGCCAAAATTTGACGATTTTCACTGGTGTGCCCCCTTAATTCGCATAACAAACTAAATTCTGCGTAAGCTTAAAATGCAGTCAAATCCCTCGCAATCGCAAATTTACTCAACATGCATGCAAGTTCTGTCACGGAACGTTTAGCAAACAGGCGATCGTCCAATGGAGAGTTCACCCATGTCAAACGTTCGCCAAATTTTCTGTCAGGGACTCGTTTATTCCCGAACTGTTTTAAATGTGAGATTCCTGGTTGTCTCACAAACCCGACTTTTTAAATCTCGATTCACGGGTTTATAACAAGTTTCATCTCACGATGTTGAAGACCGATGCTCGTATACTGAAGTCAAAAGGACTGAATCACTTACTATATGAAATAGGGGCGGATGCAATGCATCCGGTATCTTCGACTTCTTGAATCAAGATATAAACCGTCTGTCGGTGTTTCAGGTTTCGTGTGCAAGAATCTGTGCTCGCTCAGCAACTGCCACTGCATCGACTGCCAGGACACCACTTGTGTATTCATCCCTCAGCAGTGGCAATGCCAGTCCTGCAGCTGCACCTGCTATCATGAAGTGCCATGGGGGAAATGAGCGAACGACACGCTGTGCTAGTGGTCAGAAATTAACGATCTTCATTGACTGCACTTTGGCATTCCTTATTGCTCCACTTATTACTCCTTAGTACACACGTGCGATATTGGGCTTCTCCTGCTACGACACTGACATTAACTTTCTTCTGTGGGTCAGTGTGGTTTGCGACTGGTTTGCCGTTCGTCGTATTTGAAGAGGACGGCAGCCCTTAGCCCTCCGAAGTATTCACCAGACAAACTCGGAAATGGGCAGAAAGGATACAACGGGAGCTTTTGAAAAGAACCCCCCACTCACTCAAGACATGTCACGTGAAAATGTTGTCCACTTACGCACTAGTGTAATAGGTGATTTGATCGAGACGTCACAGTTCACTGTGAGGACGAACTCATGGGCTCGCGGCGCTAGACCAAAGTACCAGAACAGCAAACGCTGTTACCACAAACGCAAAGAGCCTCGTCGCCTAAATCGCTGTCACCAGGGCTAAAGGCCACCGGCAGATGTTGTCGCAAGCCCTAAGCTGCGTTGCCGCAACGCCGAAAGGCACAGAGCGGCCTGTCGCCGGGGTGTCGCGAGTGCTTGGGTGATCCGCCGTTAGCGCTTGCGGCGCTTGGCGCAACCCCTAAGCGCGTGGAGCAACCCGTTAGCGTTAGTGGTTTTGGCGCATGTGTCTCGCGTCGCAACCCCTAAAGCCCTTTCCGAGAGCCTTCACTTCACCAGAGTGGAGGTGCTTCCCTCGGAAGGGTGGGGGGCGCGGACCAAGCCAGCCGCCTCCAACGCGCTCCCCGCCATTTCTCATACTGGGCGGCACGGCAAGACCGTAGCCTCGCGCCAGGCACTGCCGCGAGCCAGTTTCCGACTGCTAGATGTGCTGGCAAAGCAACACGTTGTTTTCATCTTTATTGCAGTATATTTCGCTGGCATTATCACAAAGTGTGGTGTTATCTTGTTGCAATGAGTTTAACGGTGTCGTTACTCGCTGTGAACAGTGAAATTTGTTTATTGAAAGCGGTGGACAAGCCTGCGATCGTGCGAATAAGATCGTCTGTTTGTTATGATTCGTGAATCTTCAAGTGAGTCGTAGAGGAAAATTGCGTTTTAGCGACTGCTTCTCGCCCTAAAACAGTCCTTATTTCTATGCACTCCAACTCTGTACGCACCCTTGCATCTACCTCGGAATGTCACGCTTTCTGTCGTAAAAATGCGTTTTCGTCCGTTCCTAACCCTCCGTTGCATCGAATGCTTCCGCGGCACTTATTTTTAAGCTCGATCCGTCTGTTTTCCTCACTCAGTTGCAGTTTTGTTGTTGCAGGGCCATAGGAGCAGATGTCTGGTTGGAATGTACCTGGCGAGTGAACTGCGGAATCGACTCGGGAGTCGACGAGACCCGACGAGTCTTTCTTTGGAAGCCAAGGATGCAGCATGGTGTTTGGCAATAGTCAAAGCAACAGGTCGTCTCTTCTTCGCCGCGCCATTAATAGGTAAGAGACGAACGTTCAAAGTGTCTCTTTGAAAAGATTAATGTTTGAAGCATTGGTTGGAAGCGCATGCCCACCTCTGAGACAACAGGCTAAATCTCTTTGTCACTGATGGAACTGACCCGATACTTTGTTTTCGCACTTTTGGGTGTAGTATAATCATATGTTATTCGAACATAATCAGTCTCAAGGGGTATCAAACAGGCTTCTGCGTTTCATTTATTTCTTTGTGTGTCAATCTAATTTTTTCTCTTTCTTGTATGTTCGTCTGCAGGATGGTTGCCCCTTTCTCATGTCTATCAACCGCACCGCTCGCATCGAGCTGCCAGTGGAAGCATTACACAGTGGACATCCCATCTCCGGCCAGCAGAAACATATTAGGTATATTGCCCGCCTCATTTTACTCCTTCATCGTTACTTACCAAGAACCCCTCTAATATCTTCATATTCTTTTATTTATTGATATGACAAAGCCCAGAGCAGACATTTTACCGTTGTTTGCACAAAATATTACTGCCAGTGACAGGTTTTGTCCTTTTTATCCTAATTGAACTCTGTACCTTTGATTCAAAATTATTCTTTGCTAAGCTCTTTTTCAGTTTTTTTTTCTTACATGCTATCAAAGAAATAGTGTTTATTTTGATCTGTTTACTTTTGAAGAGTGGTTCCCCGTCTGAAAAATTTGAGTCCTGAGTTAGCTGGCTTGTTGTTGATCATGTAGTGTCTCCTTGAGTAATGATACCCCTTCATAATGTTCATCTGTTTGTCATGTTTCAGAAACAATTTCATTCTGGTGTTTTTGATGGAACAGTGTCTCATGCCCACTTGCGCATTATGTTTTAACCAAGTAGGGTGCCCAAAAAAAAAAAAAAAAAAACAGGTATGAAGTTCAGTGACACTGTTGGGAATGTGTCATAGATTCATCCCATTAATATGAAGTTCATTTGTTTCAGGTGAACCCAAGGGAAGGTGGGCACCGATGTTGCTGCTCTGCGCTTCTCTCTGCAACGTATTGGTGTTGAGTTTTGCATGTATAGTATAGTGCTTTAAGCCTCCATGGAAAGATGTCACACACAGATAAATTAAAGAGCAAATGTATTTCTTACGATTAATTTGTTGTTAGGTGCTGAGAAAGGGCCTGTTTGTATCCCCTTTTTTAAAATATGGAGAAGCATGTAGCCACCAATGCGGTTTTAAAAAAATATTTCAGTAGCAACAGAAAGTAATATAGGATGGTTACTGCATCCATTTTGTTTATGTTTCATTCAAGTCACTTTCTGTATGCATGTAGAACTACACTGCTAACAATGACTGCCAAAAAAACATCCAGTCAGATGCAGAGCCTTTAAATCATTGTTCCATCTCTTTTGTCTCTGGTAAAATACCAATGGTGGCCTAATCTTCATTTATACCTTGTTAACCATGATTATGTTGCTTCTAACAAAAGCAGTTATTAGAGGTGCCTTTCCCTGTGTCTATTCAACAAGATATAAGATAAATTCAGTGACAGATAAAAATAACTTTGAAAGTACACCTGTCTTTTCTCTCTGTCATGCATTTGCAAGTATTTCAGCTAAATCTTTTATTGCTCAAGGCCCATCTTTGTACGAGATACAATCGAATGATCTAGCCTCCCTTCTCAAGAAAAATATTTTGCCATTAATGATCAGAACAAGTTGAACTTTAGTGAAGCGTTGAGCATGTGTTGGAAACGCAGGTGATGTAATTTTGTTTCTCCTATAACTTTTGTCACAGCCTTCCCAGACACACAACTCTGGTCTCAAATCAAAGTCCAAGCCATTGTTACATGAAATTAAGTCAGAAACAAAAATAATTTTGCTTGTATTATTGTGTTTTTAACACAAATGTCTGTATTAAGGAAATCCAACTTTTGTAACTAATTCAATAGAGTGGGAAGGTCAGATTCCCTTTTAAAATGAAGCACTCTAGGTTTCACTGAAAAATTTTGTCGAAGAAATTACTAGTACCCGTTAAATTTGAGTTCATCAATTCTGAGACCAGTTAACGATGTTGGTCAAAGTAGAGATGACGTCAGTCTGTTGCTTCTTCAAGTCACTTTACGCATTTAGAGCTACACTGCTAATAATAATTGTAAAAAGAAACATTCAGAGCTTCTAAATTATTGCTCCATCTCTTTTGTCTCTGGTAAAATACCAATGGTGGCCTAATCTTCATTTATAACTTGTTAACCATGATTATGTTGCTTCTAACAAAAGCAGTTATTAGAGGTGCCCCTGTCTGTGTCTATTCAACAAGATATAAGGTAAATTCAGTGACAAATAAAATAACTTTGAAAGTACACCTGACTTTTCTCTCTGTCATGCATTTGCAAGTTTTTCAGCTAAATCTTTTATTGCTCAAGGCCCATCTTTGTACGAGATACAATCGAATGATCTAGCCTCCCTTCTCAAGAAAAATATTTTGCCATTAATGATCAGAACAAGTTGAACTTTAGTGAAGCGTTGAGCATGTGTTGGAAACGCAGGTGATGTAATTTTGTTTCTCCTATAACTTTTGTCACAGCCTTCCCAGACACACAACTCTGGTCTCAAATCAAAGTCCAAGCCATTGTTACATGAAATTAAGTCAGAAACAAAAATAATTTTGCTGGTATTATTGTGTTTTTAACGCAAATGTCTGTATTAAGGAAATCCAACTTTTGTAACTAATTCAATAGAGTGGGAAGGCCAGATTCCCTTTTAAAATGAAGCACTCCTGCTGCCCAAGGAAAAAACTTGGAGGGAAAATAACAGGAACCTGTTCAATTTCAGTCACTCAATTCTGAGACAAGTTTACCAATGGTCAAAGTAAAAGCCAAATACTTCAACATTCAAATAAAAATAAATTATGTCTCACTTAATAATCTAAAAAAGTAGAGGACTGTTGATGAGTTTCCCTTAGCAGAAGAACTAAACTGTTTGCTGCCACACTTCTTTGCTTAATGTCGAACGGGTTCAAATAATGTCTCAAATGTCTTTGCTTCCTAGGGCACTCGAGTTCAGAGGAAATTAACACCCTCAAATTACTTATCTTATCATTTAGCAAAAAAGGTTTCAATCAGAAAAAATTAATTTTGGACAAATTTATAGATTTATTCTTGCAGTATACTTTTCATGTCGGTGCCAACTTGCTTCTTCATCTCTGTTCATATATTTGCCGTGAATTAGATGTTCATTTTATTACGCATTATGTAGAACCTTAGTCTTGTGATCAGCAAATGCCTTCTTCCTGGCACTTTTGCCTCTTCTGTACGCAACAGCAGATGTCAAAATAAGATACTGAAGAGTCACTGAAAGAAAGCACATACAGATGGCAAAAATCACCTACAAAATCCATAAAATAGGGTAAGAGTCCAAGCAAATACAACTTATAAATAGGGAATGGATCATCACCTAACAAATACAGAGGGGGGGGGATGGTTACATTAAGTCACACAAACAAAGCAACACAACCATACATCAAAGGTACACACTGTAAGGCAGTTATCTTTAAACAGATTTTGATGGGAAAAAGAAAGACAGAAAATATTCTGTAACAAACCAAAAGGCGAATACAGAGCATTTTCTCCTCTCTTACTCTTACCCTTGTAATGCTGTTTAGATAATTACTGCTAAATGCTGCAGCACAACTTCAAACAGTTTACTTCAAACAGAACTTCATGGGGAGAAGAAAGACAAAAAAAAATGACTTGTAACAAACCATACGGCGAATACAGCTCATTAATTCTTCTCTTTCTCCTTCCATGTAATTGCTGTTGTCAAAATGAAAGCAGAAAAAGAAAATACTCCGTAACAAAACCAGACGGCGAATACAGAGCATTTTAATCCTCTCTTACTAATACTCAAGTATTGCAGCAATACAAATGGCAAAAGTCACCAACAAAATCTATAAAATAGGGTAAGAGGAATATGTCATCACCCAACAAATGCAGAGGGGTGGGTGATGGTTAAATTAAGTCACACAAACAAAGCAACACAACCATACATCAAAGGTACACACTGTAAGGCAGTTATCGTTAAACAGATTTTGATGGGAAAAAGAAAGACAGAAAATACTCTGTAACTAACCAAAAGGCGAATACAGAGCATTTTCTCCTGTCTTACTCAGTCTTACCCTTGTAATGCTGTTTAGATAACTATTAAATGTCGCAGCACAACTTCAAACAGTTTACTTCAAACAAAACTTCATGGGGAGAAGAAAGACAAAAAAATGACTTGTAACAAACCATACGGCGAATACAGGTCATTTTATTATCTTTCTCCTTCCATGTAATTGCTGTTATCAAAATGAAAGAAGAAAGAAAGAAAGTACTCCGTAACAAAACCAAACGGCGAATACAGAGCATTTTCATCCTCTCTTACTAATACTAGAGTATTGCATTTAGCAAACCAAAATTTCTGAGAAAGACAGACAGAAAATGCTCTGTAACAAAACCAAACGGCGAATACAGAGCATTTTCATCCTCTTACTCGTGCTTAATTCATTGCTGTTAATGAAGTAACCGTTATCTGTTAACAGAACCTAATGGGGAAAAGAAAGGAAGAAAATGACTCGTAACAGAACCATAAGGCGAATACAGGTCATTTAACTCTTCCCTTGCTCCTGCCCATGTAGGTAAAGTTCTGCTGATGTCAAAATAAAATGTGTTCACCTGACAAACAAGAATTGACAGTCACAAGTTCCACCATTTTTGTTTAACACCAAAGGCCCACATGACACAGTTATCTAATTTAACAGACCCTGATGGTGAAAAGAAAGACAGAAAACCATCCTCCTTTTTTTCTTTCCCCACATTGTGCTGCTTTAACAGCCTAAACAGTTGTTCAAGTTTCTCACCACATCAGTTTAAGAAGATGATAAATAATTTTGCAGAAAGGTGAATAGTGTTGAAAGTGGCCTAGACATGTAGAATTTCTTGATGCGTGCTGGACATTATAGCCCCCAGTCTTCTTTTCCCAGCAGCCTCTTTTCATTTCAACAGCAAAATATTGGTCGCAAACTTTTCATGGGCTTGAGCTTGAGCAGTATTAGAGAACACTTAACTCTCTGTCTGAAAATTGACAAGAGACAAATATTACCAGAACTCAATTTGTAAGGTGATGGCAATTAATTTCTTATGAACTTACTGTGGACACAGAAGGATCGGGCAAAAGAAAAAGAGCAAAATTTTGAAGGAAAACAGCTGCAAGTTAGTACCAATAACTTTCAAAGTTGCTGATTACCTGTAATAATTAAGTAAGTTCATTTAAGATTCCTCAGTTCTGTGAAAAAAACATCGATATCAAGAATAAAACAACTTACCTCCAAAAGAAATTGTCAAGGTGATGACGAAGAGCTAGCTCAGTGGTAGGAGCAGATTTCTTGACACCTCTCCAAAATTTTTGAAAGTAGTGAGAAAAACCACTGAACCTCCTATCTTATGAAATGAAACTCTTGTTAATCCTTATGGGAAATAGTTAAAATATGAAAAAGATAAGTAAGGGGTCCCTTTTGCCTAGATATATAAAAAACTTGACTCCCAGATCTGCCTTTGAAGTTATGCTGTCTATCAAGACCATACGATAAAGCTCCAATCCTGCCGCCCAAACTGCACCTTTACACATGACCAATAATGAGGCCAAAACAGTGTCTGCACACTGAGAGAGTGAATGGCACAGCCAAGTACAAAGTTATGAGTTGTGCTGACCTGTCAAAACCAAGAGTTTTAAATCCTCACAAGTTTGTTTGCCTTAATTTTACAGTGAGTCCTATCCTATTGTATATTGTAAAAATGGAAGAGAACACTCACTATTAGGGATGGAACCTCCCCTTTAAAAACTGGGGAAATTCACATTTATCTACAAAAGACCAAAAATTAAAATGTCCTTGACTATCATGCCACAATGAAGGTTATTACAACCACAACCCTACCTACAAGAAAAGGGAACCATGAATGCTGCCTGCATCATGGGCCCCTCCAGAAGTAATATTTTACTCGGTTATTTGTGGGCTCCTGGAATAAAGCCCTGATCTTCCCTAAGCCTTTCACTAAATATCTTGTTTGAAAATTAAGTAAGAAAGAATAATAATTAAAACATCATTCTTGCCCTGCCCTCAAAATGAGGCAAAAACACTGTATCCAAAGCAATAGTAACTCTGTGGGAAAAATGATCGGGATGGTGTGAGCCTCCCCAAAGTTATGAAGGTGTCCAATTTGTAATATGCATGAACCTTGGGAGTTCAGGCATATGCTAATTGTATAAACACCCGCAAAAACTCCATCCGGCATCATCTACCCTGTGAGAACAAACGCCATGACACAGCAAAAGAAAAAGGACCTCGGATATGATACCTGAACACTTGATCAACCACACCCATTTTTGGAACAAAAACACTGACTGGACTGATAAAAAATAACGTTTTCACATTCTGCCTGCTACAATCCCAGCTCTATAATCGCCTAGTAACTCTGTGACACAGCTAGAGAGAATCTTATATCTTGATTCACCAGAGATTTTTTTGCGTCAAAAGAATTCATCCCACTCACATGAACTGAAATTAACCTGGTCAAAATAAAGCAATCAAGTTTTAAATAGAATTAGGTTTTACTTTATTGTAAGTTTTGTGTTAAACCATAGAAATACAGACCTTGAGCCAAACACAGATTTAGTGCTTTGTTTACATAATCCTCGTCTTGTATAGCCTCCTCCTATCTCCAAACCAAAAGGATAATTGTAATTTGGAATAATGCTGAAACAAAATAGAGAATATAATTAGAAAAAAAAAAAACATATCCTGCCGGAGGGGGTGGAAATATCCATAAATCAATCCCTTACCTATTCTTCAGAGGGAGAAGAATATCGACCTTCTCTGATATACCCTTCATTAGGTGGAAAAGAATTTCAACTTCATTTCAAACTCAAAGTCATGGTGCTTAGATTGTAGCCACCTAGCAACAAACAGACATAAATGCTTAATTACGATATCTTGAACGCCTTTTTCATTAGTGCAATATACTGATTGTTGAATCACATAAAACTTTAAAACTACCTACTTTTCTTCACAGTCCAAAATGTTTCTGAAAAGGATTAGGAATGAAGGTTGAAAGTTTCTGCTGCTCGACTTCCCCTAGTCTCAAATTAACCTGCAATCAAACATACAATTTAAAGAAAGATACTTAATGATCCTTAGGCAGTATCAATGTATGCACCTCACCTGAAACCCGAGGAGGTTACTTCCAACAAGTAATCTCTTTGAATCATAAGTTTTGTAGATTGTAACTGAAATCAAAGTAAGGAGCAACTAAATGTTAAGTGTAGTCTTCAGGAAAATATACGAGACATGCAATAATCAGGAGACTGTACGACATAATTAGAGAAGATTGATTCAATCAAAGGAAGAAATAATTTATGGTAATGAAAATCATTTGAAGTTGCAGGCAGTTGTACAAGTATACCAAAGTAAGGTAAATATCGAACTGAATAATGTTTCTGAAGAACGATTGCATGCTGTTTGAAATTTATACAGGATGCAACAATGTTAAATATGATGTGAAAGGCACCATACTCAACAAAGAAAATTGAAAAACATTCCAAATTCCAATGTGAAAGAAACTTCTCATGATCGTTACCTGCTCCTGTTCTGCCATGCTGAAGCAAGCCAATATTTGTGGTGTTCAGCACTGCTATGCTCACTAATGTTCTCCTTTCCTCCAACTGTCATACCCTGACGAGCCGAGGGACAAGGAGGGACAAGACAAATGTAGACAAGTACAGGACACCGTGTCCTAATCTTGTCCTAGAGACATTGTCTTTTTGTTTCAATTTAGGACAAAGAGACAGAAAGATGTCTCCGAATGTCTTTGAGTGTCTAATTAACAAGATGTCTCTGGTTGTCTGTGATGTGTCTTTTTTGGTTCAGAAGGGAGGAAGCGCGTACACTCATCCGCGTCCTGTGGATTATCCACACGACGCGGTGAGTGTACGTAGTCCATACATGCATTATTAGCAGTAACAAAATGTAGAGGCAAAATTCAAAAATTAAGGTGTTTCTTTAATTAAGACTCAAGAAACAAAACAATTATTAAAATTCAGACACATTAACACGGTACAATCATAAAAGCAAAACAGGAAGTCTTTCCAGTCATGATCAGTCTGATTTGGTGACTACCAAAACAATTAGCACATTTTCATTCGAAAAGGAAAAAAAATTATAGTGGCAAACTTATTGGTACAATTATCAGTTCCCATCGGTATCAGACTAGTCATCACCGTCTAACACAATTAAGCACATTGAAACGTCAAAATTATTGTCATTATCTTCATCACCTTGATCATCTTTAAGACTTTAACAAAACAATTATTAAAATTCAGACACATTAACATCCGGTACAATCATAAAAGCAAAACAGGAAGTCTTTCCAGTCATATCAGTCTGATTTGGTGACTACCAAAACAATTATCACATTTTGATTGGAAAAGGGAAAAAAAATTATAGTGGCAAACTTATTGAACTCAGGTACAATTATAGTTCCCATCAGGTATCAGACTATTAGTCATCACCGCCTGACACAATTGAGCACATCGAAACGTCAAAATTATTGTCATTATCTTCATCATCTTGATCATCTTGAGGCTCCTCTTTCACCCCCCTTTCTACAACTTCCTCCTCATTTACAACCTCCCTTTCTTCCCCTTCCTCATCCTCACTGCTGCTTGAGTCCAACGGATTGATCCTCACTCTTTTAGCTGGCTTGGAGACGTCTCTTCCCTTCTGCCTCTTGGAAGTCAGCTTTGGTCCTTTCTTCCCACTTTTCACATCAGTATCAGTTTCTTTTTTAGAGGGCCCTAATTTAGACAGTAGCTTTGAAACAATACGCCTGGTATACTCCGGTGTGTGTGGTTCAACCATTTGTTTCCCCACCTTGATGGGTTTTAAAGCTGTCTTTTTCCACGTCAAGGAATCCAGATATGCTGGAAGATGAAAGCACACATTAAATTGGTTGACTGAAGGATATATCAATCTTGTCTTTAAAAAAGCAGAGAAACTTACAGTGGATGGCTTCCAAATGGATATCCATGATTCTGTTGCTCTTCCCATCCACTTCCTTGAAACTGAACGCTGAAGGTTCAATTAATATATCATTCAAGATAGCAGTGAGGCGCCCTTCCACAGTTCTCAGGGTATCGACTTCTGCCATTCTCTTTCTTGAAATGAGCTTCCCAGCCCCTGCATAAACCTGAGGCCAAACAGAGAGCATGTTAAAAAATGAAACTTGACAGGTGACATAAGACCATAAGGCATGAGGAACACACCATGTCAGAAGGGACATCAATAGAAGGCTCTTCTGTCACAAGAGCCTTCATGGTACTTATGCGGCACTTCTTTGGAGCTGTTGAATTAGAAGTTCCATCTTTGTTCAACAGAGCTGAAAATCAACAACATGAGCACAGCAGAATAATTTAATTGTGCAGTTTGAGACAATTGTGCAACGTACCATCACATAATTGCTGCAGATTTTTCTGCATCGTCTCGAGTCTCCCTTTTTCAGACTCCAGGGACTCATTGCGCAGTAGCAGTTCCTTGTTCTTAAGAACAAGTGCAGCATTTTCACTTTTCAGACTCTCAAGACATGCTTGCAGAATGTCACCATCGTCCCCCGGTGCATCAGTCTGGGTGTAGGTGCTGACTACTATCTGCCCACGATCATGAAGCAAAAGAAGCTTCTGAGAACACATTAGATAAAAACGATTATTGACATGAAATGTGAAGTAAAGGCCATTGAAATATGAAAACTGTCAAACCTGCTCAGATGTAGGCTTCACAGGGGTAGAGCTTCCCAAGGATGGTCGAAACTTGTTAACTATTTTAGCCTCCCGGTCGTTCCTTGCGGCTCCCAGAGCAATTTTTTCCTTGGTCTGTAATACAATGAAACCCCATTAATCCACCTGACCCTCACTCCTACACAGATTAATTTAAACATGGCTGACCTTGTCATTCGCAGCATCCTTAGATTCAACCGATTTTAGGCCTTTGTCCTCTCCTTTGGTTTTGCCTGTTTTGATGCTTTGCGAGCCTGTACCTGCATTCACCGTCTGAAATTAGAACCCATGCTTATCAGAACACACATCCGTTGCGGCACTACAAATCAGCGCAAGAGTAAAAACTGTACCTTCTTCTTGCCGCCCTCTTGCTTCCTCTTGCTGCTCTCTTGATTTGAGGTACTCGGCTGCAAGGAAATAAGATTAATTACCATTGCAAGCTTTGCCAGCTATAGATGTGGTTACAAGTGGGAAATCTTACCTTGATCACCGGAAAGGTGTGCGAGCCAACCGATTTCCTTGGGGGGCACACCAACCTTTCCCCATTGGCCTTCTTCTCCTTGATGATTTGGGCAACAGCCTTGAGGGTGCCTATGAAAACACGAACAGTTAACAATGAAATAAATGGTTGTGGCCTAGATGGAGGCATGAGGAACCCATGGCATCAAGCACACAAGTTCACTGCACACCTCACCTCACCCTAACCTGCCGCGGGTGCAATGTACGCCTAATTTTCCAGTCGAATTACAGGTTGACTCAAAACAAATAGGGGAGAACTTACCTGCAGTGAAGAACACGTGGACTCGCCGTAGTGTTTCACCATCCTCCAGTACTATCCTCATGTCCTTCTTGTCCAAAGTGTCCGGCTCGTAAGGAGTTTTTGTTTTGTCGTCATCGTGAAGGTGGAAAAGATTCTTAACTTCCACCACCTTAATCAGTTTCTCCGTCCCATACACACAAACATATGCAAATTTATGACCCATTCTGGCTTGATTTAAAACCTCCGAACGTTCACAACACCCCCATTTGACTGAGCTGAACTCGTAGCTAACCGCGCCAATTCCAACGGTCGAAAAGAACTGGAATCTTCAAGAAGGCTGCGGCTGCGCGTCGGGCAGGTTTGCCAACTCGGAAACTCACTACAGAGCCAGAGAGTCTGTAGATATTTGTCATGCAGAGCATATTTCATAAAAAAAATACTAAATGAAGTTTTCTTTACGTGCAATTAATACAATCTGCTTTCAAAATAATAGTAGTACAGGGCAGAGGTGTGCTGCTAGGTTGGCCAAGGTGTCTTTTGTTGTTTTTGTTGGATCCCTTGTCTCTGTTTATCGGTTAGTTTTGGTTTGGCCAAGTGAAATTATGGACCGTACGTCATGCATACGAATCCGTTAAGGAAATATGTTTTTTTTTAATATTTCGTGGAGACTCGACACAATTTTCGCACTCCTCAGAAGCAAAAGTCCTCTCTTTAATGCCGCCGGTCTCAGAAGGTAAACGTAAGTAACCTCACCTTCTGTCACATTTTCTTCTTATTTTCTCTGGCCTCTCAGCGACTTTAATACGAGTCTTTCATTAAATGTAGATGCCTACAGAGCGGGGACCGTATACGAAAGATAGTCGAACCACCAAGTGGAGGAGGAACCTCGAAGAAGGCAGCACTTGCACAGATCATGGGGAAGATTGTGATTTCCACACCTTGGGTAACTCAGAATGCTCTTGTGACTACCACAGAGATGCAAGAGGTGATGGACAAGATGATGATGATTGTATGTGTGTTTATCATGTTGCAGCTAGATCAGATATGGTAAGATGTTTCGTCAGTTCTTTCCAAATGCCTTTGTAGATACTGGTATATTACTGATAATCGTTCATTTCGTTTTTAGAAGCTTGAAGATGTGGATCAATATAATGAACAGGACTCAAATGAAGAAGTTAATTATGATGAGGAAGGCGACTGCCATCAAGGTCTGGACGAAGGATTGGAATTCATCGCAGATCAAAGTTTGCAGTGTGCGTCTGAAGATTTGGACGAAGAGAAGGGATCTCAATCCAATCAAGATATGAATGAAGATGAAGAGATGAACAGCAATGATGACAGTCATCATGAAATCAGCAGACACTCTGGTCTCAGCAGTGATTCATCAATCCCCTCAGAGGAGACCATTGAAAAGTCTGTGCTAAATTCCTCAATAAATGTTTGTGCTCGATGTGCAGATATTTTATCTGTAAGTATGGGGATTGTCTCAGTAGCAAACCCTTGTAATTTTTTAATGTTGCTATTGTTTGATGAGACATTTATGTTCACTTCATTTACTTCCAGGAGTGTGTCTGTGAGAGTTCTTCGACAGACTGTAGTGACATTGAAATCTGTCTACTGGAAAGGTTGCAGCGGAATGAGGACTCTGTGTACAGTGATGGGCATGACGAAGATTCCAGTCCTGACCCAAGTACTTCGGGATCGAGTTCTGGTTTTGATTCAAGTGGCTCAAGCAATGGAAATGGGGGTGATGATCCTCCCAGTGGAGACTCTGACCCTGGCCCTGATGAGGGAGGGGATGAACTGGAAGACTTGGATGAAAACAACTTCTCGCTGCAAGATGCATCATTGAATCGTATAATGCAAGCTGCTGAAGGTAGAACTGCGAGGGAAATGTTAGCCATGGTATTGGCACTTTCTGTTAGGCATAATTTAAATTATGTAACTTTGATTGCCGTGTGTCAAATTATAAATGCTGGTTGTGCTTTCAAACTACTGCCATCAACAATTAAGCAGCTATGGAGTGTATTGAGGAAACAAAACGCTGGTATTGTGAAGCAAGCATACTGTCCAAAGTGCTACAGCAACTTAGGGGAAGTGAGACATTTACCTAGGAATGTAGTGTGTGTTAACCAACTTTGTGACTATCGGTGTAGGCGGCGAGTTGTGAAGTACTTCATAACTTTAAGCATCAAAAGACAGCTTAAAAATCTCTTAACGCTGCCTGGGATGTGGCAGCTTCTCCAATACAGATATAACCGACAGAAATTGTTTGAGAATGCTTACGAAGATGTCTTGGATGGTCATGGCTACCAAGCCTTAGGAGATATTGGCAATGGTTTGACTTGCCAAATAAATGTTGATGGATTCAGTACCAGTGGATCATCTGGTTCTCAGGCTTTTCCTATTCTTGTGCGAATTAATGAACTACCTCCAAGTCTTAGACAAAAGTTCACACTTTTAGGGGGCATCATTATCTCAGATGGAGATCCAGACATGAATATGTTATTTGAGAAATTTGTAGCCGATATGAATGACTTATCAAGGGATGGAATTGAATGGAGTCCACAGGAAGGGAATATTATCCAAACCAGACTTTTTCCAACTTGTTTCTGCCTTGATGCAAGAGCTCGTGCTTCTCTGTTAAATCTAAACCTGTACAGTGGACATTCAAGCTGTCCATTTTGTGTTCATCCAGGTGTGTATTTGAATGGCGCCATGAAATTTCCTGTCCCTGGCACTGAGATCATGCTAGTGAGAAGACAGAGGCAACAATTGTATGTTGTCCCAGAAACTCCTCTCCGCACACACCAAGAGATTCAGCAAAATATGATCCAAGCTTTGCAGACAGGAAGAACTGTTAATGGTTTTAGAGGTCCATCAGTCCTTTTAAATTTGGAGCACGTGAACCTAAGCAATTGTTGTTCCCCAGATGATTTACATGCCATTTACCTGGGGGTTACAAAATTTTTAACCAATCTAATAATAGAGGAAGCAGAAGATCCCGATAATTTGATGAGACAAATAGATGCAAGACTTCGTCGTATTCGTACCCCAACACTCATCTCCCGGAAGCCTAGGAGTATCAAGAAGAGAGGAAAGTATAAAGGCTCAGAATGGAAGACTTGGTTGCTGTATCTTGGGGTTCCATGCATGGTTGGCCTAATACCAGAAGATAGACTACGTCTTTTTTCTCTCTTGTCTGAAGGTGTGTTCTTGCTATCTCAAGATTCTGTCTCTGATGAAAATATTGATGAATCGGAGAGACTTTTAGAAATGTTTGTGACTGAAGTCCAAGAAGTGTATGGAGTGGGCAGAATGCGTTTCAATATTCACATGATATTGCATCTAGCAATGGCTGTGAGACTTTGGGGGCCCCTTCAGTTGCACAGCACCTTTCCTTATGAGGGGTGGAACAAGAAGTTAAGGGATCACATTTCTTCTCCTAATGGAGCTGTTGACCAAATTGTGTTGAGGTTTCTTCTGTTGTCATTGGCTCAGAGGCTTCCATATGAAGAAGGCCTAGATGATGAAACCAGAGAATTTATAAGAAGCATGATGTCTTCTTTGGAACTTGACAATCCTCTTCAAATTGGATCTTCTTATTTCTTTGGAAAGCACACAATGCGCAACCCGACAGAGGATGAAGTTTTGTTACTAAATACAGCTGGAGTGCATGCAGATAACAATCTTCGTCTAGTTGAGTACCACCAATGTCGGAAGGCAAGAATTTGGCTGCATTCAAGTAGATACTATGAATACTATGCAGATGACCGTGACTCCAAATCTGATAACATGACAGTTTTCACAATGAACAACCAATTTTGCAGTATTGATTCTATTGTTGTTCTTGGAGAAGGGGAGAATCAAATTGCTGGTATGTTTTGTCACCTACTCACTATTGGTGATGCACCATTTGATGCTGCACACATCAAGTATATACTCAATGAGAATGAAAGACTGTTTCTAGTAATTGATTCTGTTCGAAAACCAGCAATAAGAATGGTTTTTGACAACATGTCTTATGTCACACCTATGTCTAATGTGGGGGAGATTGATTAAATTGTTCAGACTGTTTCTAGTAATTGATTCTGTTCGAAAACCAGCAATAAAAATGGTTTTTGAGAACATGTCTTATGTCACACCTATGGCTAATGTGGGGGAGATTGATTACATTGTTCATATGGTAATATGGTTGCTTTATGACAATTTCTTCCATTATTATGAATAATATAATTTTTGTAGCAGGCTGCACATTGTTGATTGCAAAAAATAAAAAGGGAGAAAACATTTAAATAGTGTATATAATCCCCCCCTAAATCCCATTTTGCAACACAAAAAACTCATGAAAATACTATCTGAATTTCACCTCAATTTGCTGTCCAAATTTTAAGGTTACCTTAATATCTCAAAACCGAAAGGGGTCGAGACAAGCAGAAGATAAATTTGGTCAAATTGATAAAGACAAGATGCAGACTTGAAATAGACAACTTAACAGAGACAAGCAAGGGACAAATTTGGACAAATTGATAAAGACAAGATATAGACTTGACAGAGACAACTTATCCGGGACAAGCCGAAGACAAATTTGGACAAATGGAAACAGACAAAATATAGACATGGAAGAGACAACTTAACCGAGACAAGCTACAGACAAATTTAGACAAATTGATAAAGACAAGATAAAGACTTGACAGAGACAACTTCTCCGAGACAAGCTAAAGACAACTTGGGACATCGTTCTCGAGACAGTCTGGGGACACTTCAAAGACAAAATTTCCTTAGACAAAGTATGACAAATAAAGACAACGACTTTGAGACACTGTAGGACACTTCTAGGACCATATTCGGACATCATTTGTCTTAAGGACAGGCAAAGACACGGCCAGGACACTAAGACACGATAAAGACATTTTCAGGACAATTGGGGGCTTGTCTTTTGCTGTCCCTCGGCTCGTCAGGGCTCCTGTAGAGTACTCCATTTTGGAGTGTTAAGGAGTTGTATTGGTGCCAAAGTGTTCTGGTGTTGCGCCCAAACTTGATGACATCTTGAAGGAGGGGCTTCTGGCCCTTTTCTACTGCTGTGATTATTGGGGCTAAGTTTTTGTCTGCTCTCTGCAGTGATGCCATCTCTAGTGGTGTTTCCCCTTCAGGTGAGATTGCAGTGTGTAGAATTTCTGTAACCCTTTTATTTTCCTCAACCGTTTGGCAAATGCGACAACTTTCTTCACAAGTTCTCACCTTAGTTGGATCTGGCTGAGTGTGATGGTGACAGATGTTGATGGTCATATTTGTGTCTTTGAATACTTTGTAGAGTAGTGGAATTATGTCTAAATTGTTTTCTGGACTCTTGTAATAGTCAAATTCTGGTAAATTCCATTCAGTGACATTTCTGTTGACGAGCCAAGCTTTAAGGATGTTTAGTGCTATTTCTACATCATTGACGTGTGGTCTGTGCTCCATCTTTTCCTTGACAATGAGACTAATGATTGTTCTGTTGTTTCTGTTGTAGGCGCACAGCCCGGGGAATGTCTTGTCTGTGTTTGAGTGGAAGTCTCTTTTGACTTGGTACCACTCTTCAATTTGCCTGGCCAGTGGAGAGGAGAACTTCCCTTCCAAGCTGATTGGGTGAACTACCGGTGCTGTGTTGGGGGCCTGAAGTACTGATGTGAAGACTTCCTGGATCGTTAACCCTTCCACAAGAGTGGAGCTGATGAGGTAAGCTGTTGCGTCTTTAGCTTCAATTTTTGTGCACTTTTTGCAGCTGGGTTCGCATGGCCTGTCTGGCCGTCTACTTAGTGCATCTGCATGACTGATGTTAGTGCCTTTTTCATGCACTACTGTGAACTTGTATGGAGACAGCTTTTCTAACCATCTTGCTAACATGCCAGTAGGGTTTTTGAAAATTTTTTAAGCCACTGTAGGGCTGCGTGATCTGATTTTACTATGAAAGGTGCTCCTGCTAGATAATGATTAAAGGCTTTTACTGACTCTACCAATGCTAGGAGCTCCCTATGAGTGACACAGTAATTTCTCTGTGCTGGGGTTAATGTTTTTGACCAATAAGCTATTGTTACTTCATTGCCGTCTTGTTCTTGTGTTAGGACTGCTCCTAGGCCAGTGAGGCTGGCATCACAAGTCAACGTGAATGGTCCTTTATCCACATCTGGAGAACCAAGGACTGGCGCAGTGGTGAGAGCTGTTTTGACAGAGTCAAAAGCTTCCTGACAGTAAGGCGTCCAATCAAAGTGGACTCCTTTTCTGAGTAGTCGGTACAAAGGTGAAACTTTGCTGGCCATATGAGGTACGTACTTGCCATAGTAGGCGGCTAGACCAAGCCATGACTTTAATTCTGAGCTGTCATTTGGCTGTGGCCAATGAATGATTTTATCAATTTTATTTGAATCTACTTTTATTCCTGTTTCAGACAGAATGTGTCCTAAGAAGGAAATCTCCCTTTGGAACAACTCACACTTTTTGGCTTTGAGGAGGAATCCTCCAGCCCTGACTCTATTGAGGAAAGCTTCCAGCCGTTGCAACATTTGTTCAAAGTTGTCTCCTGCTATGCAGACATCATCCAGGTAAACAGATACAGTATTTCCTAAATCATTGTGTTTGTTGGGTTCCAAGGCTGGTGTGACTAGTCTGTCTGTGACTTGTTGGAATGCCCCTGGGGCTGCAGAGAGCCCAAAACTCAATCGAGTGTATTCAAACTGTCTGTGTGGTAGTCCCAAATCTTCTGGTAAAATGATGGCCGTTTTGGGTTGGTCATCAGGATGCACTTCTAAATTGTGGTACCCGTGTGCTAAGTCAAAGGTGTGATACATTTTGTGTCCCCCTAAATTTTGTAGTATTTCCTGTGTTCTGGGTATTGGTGCTGCTGGAACTCTAGTGATGGCATTGAGTGCTCTGTAGTCTACACAAACTCTTACTTCTCCAGTCTTTTTAAGGACACAGAGAATGGGTGATGCCCAAGCGGATTGGCTGGGCTTGATGGCTCCCATTTTTAAATATTTCATAAATGTCTCATACACTTCTTTTCTGTAATGCAGGGGTACTGGACGTGCGTTCTGTTTGATGGGTGGATGGTCGCCGGTGTCTATCCTGAATTTCATCCATGGACATCGACCAAATGTGAAGTTGTCTGGTGCAAATACATCGTGGTGTTTGCGAATGAGTTTTTCTACTTCTACCTTTTGTTCTGGCGGCAAGGCAGTGGCTTTGATCATGGCATCTAAGTCTGCAGGTAATGGCATATTTTCTGGAATGGGTTCTTTTTCTGGCAACTTGTACTCTGCATCATGGAAATTTTCTATTTCATGCTCAGTTAAATTCAGATGTTCTGTCCCATTTGCTATGTTGACTGCTCGACATGGACACTCTTTAATTTCATTATCGCTTTCATATCCACTCTCTTCCTCCCTTTCTAAGTCCTCCTCAAAATCTGGGTTTGCCTCATCCTCAAGACCATCATACTGTAGTGGGTGGAGTAGTAGGACTTCTGCTATAATTGCATACTTAGGGATTTGGACACAAGTGTCTCCAAGATTTAGTAGAGTTACATTTACTGGGCCCGTCACACACGGTACAACGCCTGTCTGTGTGACTATATTTTCTGAGATTTGACTTTTAACATTAGGATTACTTTTACTGGCTGTTAACAAACCAACATGCATCTTGCCTTCTGCTCTTTCGGGTGGTTGGATTCCCAATATTTGTTCACTTTCTTGTGCGTTGGCCGCACCCATTTCACAATCTTTTACCATGGTTTTGTTCTTTGTTTCTAGACCGTCAAGCTGGCGATGACCGGTCTGGCTGTCAAGCTGGCGATGATCAGCCCCCTCCGCTCTTGCCTGAGACGTTACTGTATGGCATGTCGTTTCCGGAGGTGAAGCAGAAGTGGACAGTTTCCTTTCCGACTCCGGAGGACGACTATACCCATTAATCGTCATGGCAAGCAACGCGTCAGACAACTCTGACTCATCAACCACCAGGTCAGTTTCCAACTTCGTGGAAACCTGCCTCTCTACGAAAGGTTTCAGCAAGATTTTCTGATTAGCACGTATTGGATAGGACAGATTGCCACTGGCGAAATCTCCCTTGTGCACAGAGTTTACAACTTTGTATGGAACTTGGATGTCATTTTCAAGTTCAAGCATTTTAGTTTTGGTGTTGACAACACCTTCAAATGTATCAATGAAATCATAGCCAATTAGATTTTCAGTAATATCAGCCTCATAAACTGGGAACCTATAAGTTTGGTTTCCGAACTTAACATCAGTCCACTCCGGCCCATACAGTGATGTCTTGTGTGATGTTGCACTCTTTAAGCGTAATTTAGAAACAGGTAAATTACGGGTCCTCTTAAAGACAGTTATAGTAGCTCCAGTATCAACGATAGCTTCTCTGGCCTCGCCTGCCACAAGGCAGTTTACCAGTGGGCCTTTCTTATGGGGAAAGCAAGCTGCACATTTTAATTTATGTGCTGGGTTAATATTTTCTTTGCCTAGATTGGGTTGATGTTTGCAAGCTTTAGTAATGACAGGAGGGGACACTTGAGTTCTTAGTACAGAAATAGGTTCGGTTTCCAATGGTCTTATAATTCTGGGGACCTCTATTTCCATTGGCTCAATAGAAGGCCTTATTGGTTTTCCGGCTTAGGAACGTATGGCATATTTACCTTACTGTCATTTTGTGTATTATTATTAGTTTGAGCGAGAGTGTTGTTGTGTTGGGGTGTCTCGTGCGTGCCTTGGAGTGGATTGTGTCTGGCATACCATGACATTGCTGCTTGATAAAGGTCTGGTGGGGCCTCAGGGAATCGGACATATGGTCCTCTAGAGTCACTGCTATTGTTGTTATACTGCCCCCTATTGTAACTGCCCCGACCTCTGCCCCTTGGGTGAGAGGTGCCTCTATAGTTGGTTTGCCCGTTAGAGTTTTGACTTTGATTTTGCTCGTAATTTGAGCTGTGTTCCTGATAGCGACCTTCAGCTTCATCAGCAATGCGAAGCCTGCAGTCTGGCTTAATATGACCGCGTTTCCCACAGTAGTAGCAAGTCAAGTGATTTTGACAGGCTGCAGCGAAGTGCCCTGGTTTACCACATGTGTGGCAATTCGAGTCACTGCCGGTTTGGCCACCCCGGCCTCTACCTCGGCCTCGGCCTCGGCCTCGGCCTCTGCCTCTGCCTCTACCTGTTTGTGTCCCTGTTCCAGGTGCTGCTTCCTGGTCGGTGTAGTTGACTTCAGCATTATCGTCTGAAATATCAACTTCTACCTTCCTGACCTTTTTACTGGGGGTCTCCGATGTCAGAGACAGTGCCCTATTCACATGGGTGAGTGCTTCTTCTACTGAGTTGACCGATGCATAGCAAATACGCTCAGCCACCTTCCTATCTGTTAACCCTTTGATGAAAGCCTTAACACCGGCTTGATCCCTATCGATTTGATTGCTGTTTGGCATGTAATCTACCACAGCTTCCTTTACCTTCTGAGCGTAATCTCTCAGAGTTTGTCCCTCTTCTTGTTTAAGTGACTCATAAACTCGAGTCCTTTCCCACAACTCTCTCCTGATATGGAAAGTGTTTTCTAACTCAGCATCTAAATTAGCAAATGTTAGTGGTCTATTTTGTGTAGTCAAGGTGCGAATGACCTTGGTAGCTTCCCCCTGGAGGGCCTGCAGTAGGAACGCCCCTTTGTCCTGTTCGGACCAGTTTTTGTGTTCTGCGATGCTCAGAAATTGTGCTCTGTAGACATCGTATCCCGTGCTACCATTGTACGGTGGTACATAGCCAGATGTGGAAGTGACTGTAGCTGCTGGTTGCATGTGTGCTGGAGGAGCGCGATTAATTAGGTCACGCATTAGATTGTAGAATTGTTGGGGCTGAGATTATCTTGCTGATCGCGCCTATCTTCGCGGCGGTAGGGGTGCGCGCGCCGACGGCGGCGTGGCGCCTGGTCGTACTCGTCGTCTTCCTCGTCATTATAATCATGATCCGCACCAGGATTGTCGTCCCAGTCCATTACATCGTCGCGCCCGGGCGCGCCGGCCTGCTGGCCGTGGTCCCTGACTCGCGGCTCGGGCTGCTCGTCGTGATCGAGGTCGTCGTCGTCCTCGTCGGTATCGTAACCGTAGCGGCGTAGCGGCCTGATAGCACGGCGGGGGCGGTCCGGTGCTTGCCCTGCGCCTAAACCTCCGCGTCCGCGCCCTCGGCCTCGGCCACGGCCTCGGCCTCTACCGCGTCCTCGCCCGCGTCCTCTACCGCGTGGGGCAGGAACGCCCGGTTCGTCGTGTTGCTCGCGGGGTACTTCGACTTCCTCGACGTCGAGGGGGACCGGCGCGTCGGCCATGGTTGGGTAATCAGTCCCACCAGCGGCGGTTGTACAAGATGGTGTTCAAAGGGCGGCGCCTTTGCTGGACGGGGCGGATTCGCGGCGTGGGGCGCGTGGGCTCGTCGGACGGGGGCGGCGCTGTGTAGACGCGCACTGGGGTTTTATGTTCAACAAGATTGCCCTTGTTATCCCAGGTAATTACTGTGCAGTAATCTATGTGTACTGTGTTGCAGGACGACGCGGTGTTCACTTCGCGAGGAACTTCGGCTTCAACGACAGATGCAGTTGGGTGTGGGGAATGGGACATAGCACTTGACTTTAATAAAGTTTTGACTTGATTTCAAGCCTCTAATTTCTAAGTTAAGACTAGTTCACTCACTCCTTAAAACTAGCACAGCTCGATGCCAGCTGGTCACTTTGACACAGTGGCAGAGTAGGCCTTTAACTAGCCTCACCACAGCACGAATTCACTCAGCAGGCGAAGTGCAGGTGATCATCAATGCGCGGAGAGGACCGAATTTGCAGCTTTACAGGTCATGCGGCAATTCACGCAGCAATTGAATGCAGGTGATCATGCGTTATGGGTAGTAGGCTGTCAATTCCTTGACCAATCATTTGCCACGAACAATTTCACACAGCAGGCGAAGTGCAGGTGATCCTTGTTAATTTTGAATGATTGATGTTTGCTTGATACGTGAGCAGACGATTTCACACAACAGGCGAAGTGCAGGTGAGCCTCACTTGTCCACGTAACAAATCAATTTATTTCTAGCTGCAGCACTCGCGTAGGCGATTTCACACAACAGACGAAGTGCAGGTGAACCTCACGTTACTTGTGTACTGCAGTGATTCCGTTCCATAAGTGAGCAATTTAACGCAACAGGCGAAGTGTAGGTTATGACTGTTCACTCAGGTAGCAGATGTCTTAACTATTTCTAGCACTCCCTTGTACTCCTGTTGGACACACTCAAACCTTGCGGCGAGTTTCCAACACTCTTTTTCACTCAGAGTCACTCTCGAAAACCTAACCTCTGAAGTCAGGTGGGGCCTGGCCTCAGTGGCTAAGCTCGATTCAATTACACACACAAGTATCCACTTTCGTTAGCTTGAGTTAGCAGCTTTTTCAATCACGATTCACACGCTGGTATTGGTTGTGGTGGGCCTCTACCAGCTTCAAGTTCACACACTAGCACTCACTGACTCGAAAACTGCTAAGTTCAAACTCTCGCGCTATCACTCACTCTCCTCCCCCCTAACAGGGAAGGCATAGACCGACCTTAACCTCAAAGCCCGATTAACCGCTGTGACCAGTGTTATAGTGTGGCAGTGTAAGGGACTCGGAGGGAAAGGGTAGTCGAAGGTCTCGTGGAGACGGAAGCTTCTGTATTATCAACAAGGTGACCGTGTACAGAATGGTGGCTGGCGCCAGACAGCGCGCCTTTATATTACAGATGCAGAAGAACATAAGGAAGAACAGTATGGTGGAGAGTGGGGGCGCATGGCCAATGGGATTTAGGAACCAGGGTATTTGAGGGAAGAACGGAAAGAAGAAGGGTTGAGGTCCTGGCCAGGATCACTAGGGCAGTGGTTAGAAAACTGGGGAATGACCATCTAGAGGCCGTGCTTTGGTTATGTTCTCTATTATTTCATATCATAACATTATCTTTCTGTAATGATGTGCTAGGTTATAAATATTCCAAAAGTGCTAAGAGTGTTGATGACAGCTGCTTGACTAGCTCCTCTGAAATACTAGTAGGTGCTGAGGAAAGCTTGTTATTGCAGTCAAATGATGTCAAAGTAAGCAATGATAATTCAGTAAGATTTTTTTCATAGAGTAATCAGGAACGGTATTGTCTACTATAGTGGTTCTTTTTCTAAGACAAATGTGTTTGATGACAGCTGTGTTAGGTTGCATGATAATAAGTATGTTTATATAGACAAACTAGTTCTTTCATCATCAAACAATATAATGTGTGTTGTTAAGCCAATAGTAATTGCAAGAGAATTAATTCCTGCCATAAAGCAGTGTTCATTCGATTGCTTTGGTGATACTAGTATTGTTCCATTTAGTGACGTTGCAAGAAAATGTGTGTTCATATCATTTAGTAACAAAAACTTTGTCTGTGAAATCCCTAACTTGTATGAGCGTGATTAGACTGTTGTCAAATTATTTAGGTTTTTTCTATTCTTTTATGCATTAGTTTGTAAATAAATAAATAAAGCAATAATTAGCATAATATTTTAAGCAATAGTTCAGCATATAAATGAAAGTCACCAAACTGGATAATCTTGTAAGATTTTATTGAAACAAACTCTTTTAAATTTATGACCAACAATTTTACTGCTAGAAATTATAACGATTGAAGATTCTGCCAATTATATGTCTTGTCAAATTGCAGTTGTGAGGAATTTATAACAAATAAATGCTTCTTATGATTAATGGTCTTACTGTCCATCTTTGAAATTTCCATAAGTTGATCACGGTCTCCAAGTCCTGGTGCCTCTGCCTCCTCCCCGAGAACTTCCGAAACTTAAGCGTTGTCCCTCGGAGAAGGGGAAGGACAAAGTACTCGCCCTGCTGCCCCTGCTGGGCTCTCGGTTTACCCGTCGCGAATCTGAGTACAAAATGAGTGATCGTAGATGACTATCGCTTCAGCGGGTCTGAGGCTATGAGGCTGAACTTGCGGCGGGTTCCATGGTACACCCAACATACCTTGTAAACTGCTGATGTAACTCTCGATAGCATTAGCACTACGGCCGAGCATAACGATTTTTTCGGTCAGTTCTCCGGGAATCCTGACTCGGTCCCGTTCGGCTCTGCGAATTTCGGCCTGTCGATGTAAACCAAACCTTTCTGGCACATTCAGAATTCCAATAATTGATTAATGTTAAGCACTCACGCGAAAGTACGCTGCTATTTCCTCAAGATCGCGTATTTGACGACCAATATCACTCATTTTGTAGCCCGACGCGTAGACAATGTTTGCAGTTTTCCGCGGCGCTGCAAGAATGCCGTGGCTTGGTTGCTCGCGCGCGGGGCGTTGCTGTTCGAAGGCGATCAGCAACGCTTAAAAGGCGCAGGAAGCGCCTGGCGGGGAAGCACCAGGAAGCACCGGGAGGGGCTCGGCCGGGCGCGGGGCGCTCGTGAATGCGAAACGCCTGTGAAGTGCCGGGTAGGCCACCGCTTGCCTGTCGTGTTGGTAGTGTTGCCTACCCGGAGAGTGGCAGGCGCGCAAGGCACGGCTTCCACAGGCGCGGGCTTGCAGCCGCGCGTCCTGGGAGCGGTCCTTTAACGATATATGGGTCCGCTATGCAGCGCCCACAGCGGATACCGTGCCATAGCGGATCCGGCAAGGCTGCACCGGATCCACTATGCAGCGCCCACAGCGGATACCGTGCCATAGCGGATCCGGCAAGGCTGCACCGGATCCGCTGAGGCTAAGAGCGGATCCGCTACGGGCTATACCGGATCCGGTGTGGCTCGGAGCGGATATCGCAAATCGGCACCGGATCCGCTGAGAACGTACCGGATCCGCTCAGAACGTACCGGATCCACTAAGATCAAAGCGGATTTTCAGACCTGGGTTTGCGTTCAAACCGAGTCAACGATTCCCATGATGTATTGCACCCTGGAGTGCAGTAATTTAGTTTTTGCATTGTTTTGCTATAATCCTACAATAATAATCCTTTAATTCCCTTAATTTGTGGAATAGGTAATAGAGCCTTTGAAAGTAATATTTTTCACATTGTTTTGCTGTAACATTTTATTGCATTTTCGCATTGCAATTTTTGTATGCATTTTCGTTTAAAAGTGACACTTTACTGCGAACTGTAGCTATAAATTTGTATTGCTGATTTTAAGTATTCACCTATGCAAAAAAACTTTAAAATAGATGCTGTATATAAGATCTTTTGAATACGACCCCTCGATTTGACTTATTCGGTATAGGAATAAAGTCTTGGTACACTGGTGGCCAACAAATGTGACGTATTAGTTGGAGTGTGACTTTTGTCACGTTCGTTTGAATATGATGTCACATTCGTTTGAACGTGGCTCAACATTCAAACGAATGAGACATCATATTCAAACGAACGTGACAAAATTCACCAACGAACGAATGTGACGTCTCACTCGTCGACTACCAGTGATGTGACCGTCAACGTGTTAACAAGTTTTTAGTGTAGAGTTGTGTTCATAGTTTTTCTTTCAGTGTAGATGTACTCTGCAAACGCAAGTGTGTGCATACCACGCACTTAAAAAGTGTATGCCTCCATGCACACTGTTTAAAACACTTTTTTTAAACAGTGTGCATGGAAGCACACAGATTTTAACTGTGCGCCCAGGCCCAGGACCTTATGCAGCACTGGTCACTCTGCAAACTCAACAGTGTACTCAGTACACTCAAGTTAGAGTGTGCTTATGAGTACACACTTTCAGCTGCATAAATTGCCAGGCGTGCTTAGGTGTGTACTCATCTGAGTACACGCTAGTTAGAGAGTACTCATCCGAGTACACGCTAGTTAGAGTGTCCTCATCCGAGTACACGTTAGTTAGAGTGTCCTCATCCGAGTACACGTTAGTTAAAGTGTACTCATGAGCACACTCTAACTAGAGTGTACTGAGTACACTGTTGAGGTTGCAGAGTGCAGGCACGCTGTTTTAAAGTGTGTGCCTGGCAACCACTACTGATTTAAACAGTGTGCGCACACATTCTAAAGTGCACACTCTAGAGTTTGCACGGTAAGAGTGGCGGCGCGTGTTGCAGCACGACGGTGCGGCGGGACGTGAGCACGGGCGGCCGGTCCATCCTCGTGGAGGCCCTGCGCGACGCCTCGGGCCGCACCCTGACGGACGTGGACGCGGAGCTGCGGGGCCTGCGCCGCAGCAAGTGGCGCCTGGGCGTGTGGCCGGGTGTGTTCGAGCGCAAGCTCCTGGACGGGTGCGAATGGCTGCTCTCCACCCAGCGGGGCCCCTCCGCCGTGCTCGTCAGCGTCAAGGCGCCCACGGGCCGCATGGTGTTCGCCGCCTGCCCCGCGACGGACTCCCTGGACAGCCTCAAGGTGAAAGCCCACTCTGCAACCTCAACAGTGTACTCAGTACACTCTAGTTAGAGTGTGCTCATGAGTACACTTTAACTAACGTGTACTCGGATGAGGACACTCTAACTAACGTGTACTCGGATGAGGACACTCTAACTAGCGTGTACTCGGATGAGTACTCTCTAACTAGCGTGTACTCAGATGAGTACACACCTAAGCACGCCTGGCAATTTATGCAGCTGAAAGTGTGTACTCATCTGAGTACACTCTACTTAGAGTGTACTCATGCGAGTACACGCTAGTTAGAGTGTACTCATGAGCACAGTCTAACTTGAGTGTACTGAGAACACTGTTGAGTTTGCAGAGCACACGCTTTATTACTATGCATTGCAAAGCCGGTGGTAAGTTTTACTTGCCACAAATTTGGCAAGCCGTTTTGAATGCCAAAAATTGGCAAGCTTGGCCCGCAAATACTTTGGCAAGCTTAGGCAAATTTGGCAAGCTTATGAAGATTGCCGACCAAAGCTTGCCAAATTTTGGCATCAAAACGGCTTGCCAAATTTGTGGCAAGGAAACTAACCACCAGCTTTGCAGTGTGTGGTTTCTTGTGCACAAGCCATGCACGAAACTGTGCGCTGACCCCGCACTCCGATGTACGGTAAACTCCGTTACAGCAAATCCCGTCAATAAAGTTAGCGCTGGGCCATTCCACGCCAAACCACCGAACCCCTAAAATGACCTATCTCAGATTTAACTTATTTTTGGTTGACTTGTAGGGACCAACCCCCCGAACTCCCAAACCAAAGGATTTTGAAAAATATCAAACGGTTTAGGAATAGCAGCACTTTGAATATCGAACTTTTTACTTAAGTTTTATTTCACTTTTTTCATGAAAATTTTTTTTTTGAACGCCAGTGAGGGTTTTTGTTTATGATTTCCTTTCTGATAAGTCCAAAGAAAGGTTGAAGTGGGTTAAGCACTCTGGTGCTTCCAATTAGGATATTTTTACTTGGGGAAATTAGTCAAAATTACTAAAAATTTGCGCTACTGAAAATACGTTGTCATGGATTTGGCTCATTTTTTGGTCAAATGAAGGTAGTTATTGGTCGAACAAATCCCTGAAATAAAACCTTTGACTTGGGCACATCTTCAACTTAACGGGAAGAAAAGTTGATATTTCACTATTAACGGTTTCGTTAAAATGACCTGAGCACCAACAGTTTCTTCTCGTATGAAGTTCTAGGACTCAAAATGAGATGAATATGGATGAAAATCAATTCAATTCTATCAAAAGTTGTTCCGTGGTATCAGCGGTTCATTACACGACAGTTGTCAGGCCAGTACATACGGCATTTGAAGTAAAATGTGGGGTGTCCAGTTCTTCCCCTGTCCAGTTTTTCCCCGCCCTGACCCTACCTGGAGGTACAGCGTTTACCGTACCCTTAGAGGTACGGTGTTTACCGTACTTGGAAGTGAGGCGATTCCCGTAGTTTGTACAAACACGGTAAAAGTGCCGCTTTGAAATCCAAGGGGATGCCTTGTTTATTTCCAAGGGGTTTGAGTGAATTTTCAAAGTGGTCCAAATCAAGGTCTTCTTATAGAAATGGATTCGTCTCGACAAGACAAACAAAAAATGTCAACACATCTCATTGGTTTGGATGGAAAATGACAACGTTACTAAGCTTCAAAAGTTCCTAAAAGGTCATTTTTTGAACATATTTTAAAGCTTGTAGGTGAATAGTTTTTTATTTTCCATCCAAACATATGACATGCCATGACATTTTTTGTTTGTCTTGACGAGACGAATCCATTTCTGTAAGAAGATCTTGATTTGGACCACTTTGAAAATTCACTTGATTTGGACCACTTGGAAAATTCACTTAAACCCCGTAGAAATATAACAAGACATTCCCTTGGATTTCAAAGCGGCACTTTTAACGTGAAGTTGAAAAGATCTCACGTTGAATTCAATTCCAAAGAGTTTGAGTACATTTTGAAAATCGTCTAAATTGACTGTGATGTCAAAAAATGAATGCCTGTTGACAAGTGCATTGTACAAATTAAGGTGATCGCCGTACTTCCAGGTACAGTAAACGCTGTACTTCTAGGTACGGTAAACACCGTACTTCTATGGGTACGGTAAACGCTGTACTTCTGGGTACGGTAAACACCGTACTTTTAAGTACGGCAAATCCTGTTAATAAATTAACGGCGAATACCGTACATTTTTCTCACAGTGTAGTGCATAAGGGGTAGGGTGGTGTCTGCATCAGGAAGCGTGTACATGGCATGTATGCGCTAGTAAGTGCATGCTTGGCAGGCATGCGCTAGCTAGAGCGTGCTTGCAGGCATGCTCCAGTTAGAGCATACAATGTACACTCTTCGATTTGTAAAGTACATGCGTATTCTTGTGAAAGTTCATTGTAATTCGAAAATCTCTAAAAATGGTTTAACTACAGAAACTTTGTGAAATTCGCATTAATTTGTCTAGAATTAACATGAAATCCATGCAATTCATTGCCGTTCTTCAAAATTCTTAGCAATTTGTCCCAATCCATTTCAATTCCTCCAAATTTTAGAAAGGATGCACCGAAATTTAAGCACATCCCTCGCTGCAGGTGACCGTGGAGGTGTTTCCTCTTGCCCCTGGCAAGCCCCCTGTGCTGGTGCAGCTGGGAGCAGATCCCGCGGACACGGTTGAGACGCTGCGCTGGGGGGCTGTCTTCAAATCCACTCCAATCCCGAAAGGTCATCGCGCTATCGGGTTAGTCGCTCAAAACCCGAGCTTCGGGCTCTTCATGGAGGACCGGGAGCTTCCCTTGAAGGGGACTGTGGCCGAGTGCGGCATCACCAGCGGGGCCAGGCTGTGCTTCCGGAGAAGGTAAGGGCACTCTAAATTCCAGACAGTGGCGTCCCGGCCTCCCCACATTTTGCGGTTTTTCGCCTCTAGCGGTCGAACGATGTATTTTACACATAGTCAACCTATACATCGTTTCAATCGTCTTCGCCCGTTCTTTGAAATGCACCATTTAAATTCTCTTTAGAGTATATACTCTTCATTCCTAACCCTGTAACTGCAAGGGCGATACTTTTAGTACCTTTTTAGGCAAGAGAATTGAGCATCGCCAATGAGCGGCCTTACGGAAAAGAACTGCCTTCAAAACGGCAATACTTCAAAAAGGGGGGGGGGAGTCCAACCCACCGCCAGTCGCTTCAGCCAGTCGATTTGGCCCAAAATTCAAAAGCCTGCGTACAGCTTCGCAGCTCAAACGATTTGTTGAAGAACGTCCAGCATTATTTGGAATATGCCTCTTGTAGAAAGCTGTTCCCACTGAACGCAATTGTGATAAAAAGAATTTAATTTTTCGTGTGTCATTCTTAAAACTCACACATGCTTAGAATGTTTCTTAAGATTTTCTCCGTGTGGGGTGTCATACACGCGTGGAAACACACAGCCTACTTAACTTTTCTGTTTCGCAGGGATTCGGATCTTGACTCACGAAAGATGCAGATCTTCGTCAAATTTATGAGGAGCACTACGGCGATCCAGTGTTTTGAATGGGATACAGTTCAGGTAAGCTAAGATCCCGTCTCGGCACTGCTTCTTACGGGGTTTTAACCCCTTTCTTTGACCTTGTGACTTTCTTCTCACCCCTTAGTATTTGCTGAAGATGCTCTTTTTATAACTAAACAACTCTGCAAACTCAACACTGTGCTCAGCACACTCTGTTCAGCGTGTACTCACAAGTACACTCCGACAAGAAAGTACTCAGATGAGTACACTCCAACGAGTGTGCTTAGATGAGTACACTCCAACGAGAGTGTGCCTTGATGAGTACACTGTAACGAGAGTGCGCTCAGATCCTGGAAAGACATGCAGTTGAGTACACGCTCGTCGGAGTGTGCTCGTGAGCACACGCTGAAGAAAGTATACTCGTCAGTACACGCTAAAGAGAGTGTTCTGAGTACACTGTTGAGTTTGCAGAGAAGGTACGTGTGCGCCAGACAGTGGCGCCGTGGTTTTTTTTTATAATGATAAAGAATGCGTTGGTATACAGTAGTTGTCCTTGGTACTAACATTTGTGTGAACATGACACAGCATCCGGGTTGCTAGCCATTTCCTTCAGTTGTTTATTTAGTGTGCCTTCACTCTCATTCCAGGAACGTGACATCACGTTGACAAAGTGTCACGTTCGTTTCAGCATTGTGTCACATTTGTTTTGGTGTGAATTGGCTAAAAATCAGCTTCTTCACGTTCAGACGAACGTGACACAATGCTTAAACAAACGTGGTATTTTGTCACCGTTTCAACGTGATGTCACGTTCCTGGAATGAGAATGTTGCGTTATGTAAAGACCTTGAAGAAATTTGAAGAACCGATAGAAATTTGCTGTCGGTTGTGTTTCAGGCGGTCAAGGACCGTGTTGGTCTTGAGACTGCGTCTAAGGAGATGTACCTCATGATGCGAGCGCCGCTCGAAGACGAGCTCACTCTCTGCGAGTCTGGCGTCGGGGATCAGTCCTTTCTGCACTTGATGCTGAGAATTCGCGGCGGTGGGAGCTCTTCATCGTCGGTCGGAGCGGCGCAGCCCGCCGGCCAAGCACAAGCAGGCCCTGAGGGCGCTCAGCCCATCGCCTCCGCCACTCCGCCTGCTCAGCCCACCGACACCCTCGCAGTGGGGAAAATAGTAGCAGGCAAATTCCTGCCTCCAGAGAAGACAAGGACCTGCCACTTTCACATCGATGACGAAGGGCCCGCCCCGAAGCTGCAATTTGATATCTTCGTTGATGAGGCCTGATTTCAATAAGATTCTTGATTGATTCATTTTTTTTTTCGTGATAAGCCCTGAAAGAAACCTTAGGGAAAGAAACCTTAAGCTTCTTAATTTTTTTGTCTTGTATATAAGTAAGTTTGTGACAACGTCATGAACGATTGCTTGGTGAAGATTTTATGTTTATTCCGTGATGAGCCTTAATCGTGTGAAAGAAACCTTAAGCTTCTTCAATTCTTTTGTTTTATCTATAAGGTTGTGTCAAAAGCATGAATGATTACTTTATAAAGTTTCTCCTTTATGATTAAACAAGCGAGACACTATCTACAACAAGCGGCCTTTTTTCTGCCTTCACACTGTCAGAAATTTTGTCGTAAATTAGCGACCAAAAATTCACTTATTTTCATAGCGACGGAAGTCGTTCTTAAACAACTTCGTCGTAACTGAACGACTAAAAAGTCATTCCTCTACGATAATGTCGTAATTGCGATTATATATTTTAAAATCTGAAATCCCCGAAAAGTTGGTGAATAGTTAAAATTTTGCTCGCTTATTTACGATTTGTGTTGTTCATTTACGATTCATAAGACAAATTTACGACCAGAGTCGCAAATGTACGACTGAAGTCATAACTTCACGTCATATTCCATAGATAAACGAGGAAGGTTTACGCCAGACCGCGTCTTGTCGTAACAGGCTTCGCGATGTCTCGCTGCCTGTTCCTCCAATCCGCGCCTGGCGTACCTACCTTGCACTGTAAAAAAATATCGTGAATTTACGAAATATTACTACACGATATGATTCATAAAAAAAGGTAATTGTTTTGTCAATTTACAAATTGTATCGCAATCATACAAAATAACTAGCCAGGGGAAGGCCTTCGGCCTCGATGCTGAGCTGGATTTAGTGATCGAGATTGGGCGGGCGGTCACCGCCCGACGGAAAGCAGACTGCAGCGCCGCACCCCGGCGAGCTTCGGACACTCTAAAACCGAACAGCCGAAGGTGTCTCCGGTTCGACTCCGGTTCGCGCCTAAACGGCCTCCTCCACCCGCACCTCACCCCTCGCCTTGTGCTAGACCCGAGAGGTGCTGCCATCTAGGTGGCTAAACGCCGGTCGGGCGCACGGGTAACCGGCCGCCCCGGGCTGAAATCTCGGGCCGGGCGGCCGCCCCGCCCGACGAGCGTTTGGGCGGGCTGGGCGGCCGCCCGGCCGGCAAAGACGTCGGGCGCGCCATGGCGTCGCCGCCCGCCCAATCACGAACACTAGCTGGATTCTGCTGGAGATGGAAATGCATTTTCATGTAGTAAATTGGATGTGTTTTTTTTGAAAATGAGCCCTTTTTTTTTTGGGGGGGTGATAGCCAGGAAGTATGCTTTTGCGCGAAGGATTGTGATTCGGCAATGGTTGGTTTCTCCTTGAATCGACGGGAAGGGTATTTAATAATCTAAAACTAAATTTTTCCCAAACCCAAACCTAACCTAACCTAACGGGCTCGTGACAGATCTTACTCTACTCGTGACAGATCTTACCCTACTCTCGACAGATTTTATTCTCAAACTAAATGGTCCAACCAAACCTAACCTAACGGGCTCGTGACAGATCTTTCTCTACTCGTGACAGATCTTTCCCCACTCTCGACGATCTTATTCTCAAAATAAATGATCCAACCAATCCTAACCTAACCTAAGGGGCTCGTGACAGATCTTACCCTACTCTCGACGGATTTATTCTCAAACTAAAGGTCCAACCAATCCTAACCTAACGGGCTCGTGACAGATCTTTCCCCACTCTCGACCGATCTTATTCTCGGTCCAAAACCAAACCTAACCTAACGGGCTCGAGACAGATCTTCCTCTTCTCGCGAAAGATCATACCCTACTCGCGACAGATCTTATGGAGCT